TTACGGGATGTATTTTAAAAAGATTTTTAGAGAATAGCTTAATCACTATCTCAAGAGATGCGTTTGTCGAGTTGTTTCGAGGAAAATAATCTTTGTTGAATCATGTTTTATTTTTACGTTTGGAGTATTTATTCGCCGGAAGCGGAGTAACATCATCGGACTGATAATGGAATATACATATAGGTGAGGTGTCTATAGCGAAATCTGAGTCATGCAGGATCAACCGAAGCCTTACATATCCATCTGCAACACAAGTTTATAGTGGTGTTGAAATACGTGGATTAGTGAATAATCAGGAATTTTATTAATTATGGAGCTCCTATGGGTCAAACCATCCGTAAAGCCTTTCACTAGACGCTAAGTGGCCTCGTCCCGTTGGCGTCTTTATTCATCAGGACCGGGAAAAATGCGAAACATCTTTATAACAATTGAAATACGAATATCATGAAACTTTTAATTTTTACAACATGCATTTTGATAAGATTTTTTGATAAATATCAGGTAACCAAATAATTTCGTTGCTGTATACCGCACATTGCCATGGATGTTGTTGATCGATAGCGATTGTTTGTTACCTGTTGTCATATTAGCATGGATCCTTCTTTTCTCACATGCATAAAAAATGCTGAAAATTGTTACGTACCTAGTTTTAATAATTGAAAATGGCGACGAATAAAACAGTAATTCGTTGTTTACTGTATGAGTACAAACTTGGTACAAGAGCTGCAGCTGCAGCCGCATTCGGAGATGATGCCGTTAGTAATCGAACAGCACAGAGGTGGTTCAAAAAATGTTCTTCGGAAGATCTCACTTTGAGCGATGAACCGCGCCCAGGGAGACCAAAAATCTTAAACAACGAGGATCTTCGACAGGTTGTGGACACAAATTCCAGGGCAACGTGCTAAGAACTTGCAGAAATGTTCAGAGCGAGTCCTGAAACTATTCGTTTGCATCTTCATCAGCTAGGAAAGACGTGGAGGTTAAGCAAATGGGTCCCACATGAACTGACAAGTGATAACAAATTAAGTAGTCTTACCATTTGTTCACCAAATGTTTCACGCAACGCTAATGAACCATTTCTTAATCCGTTATTAACTTGCGACGAAAAATGGATCTTGTACTCGAATTCGAAGCGTTCCTATCATTGGTTATCGCCTACTGATTTGGTACCACACACGTCCAAGGCTTCCTTGCACCCAAACAAGATTTTGTTGTGTATTTAGTGGACAGCAACTGGAATTGTCCATTATGAGATTTTGGAAAAGGGTCACACCATCACTGCTAACTTGTATTATGAGCAGCTTCAACGAGTACAAGCAGCACTCGTTCAGAAACAGCCGAAACAGCCTTCTTTGATCAATCGGAAGGAAGTGATATTCTTGCAGGATAACGCCAAGCCTCATACTGCAAAAGCGACCCGAGGAAAAATTTATGATCTCGGCTGGGAAACTATTTTTGTCTCTTGACAACTGTATGAGGCACCGACAGATCACAACTCGAGATGGTTTTGTTTATACGTATGGTTTGCAGTAGAGTATTTATTTCGCCAGGAGCGAGTGCATAATGGGGGCACTGAAAATATTGCCGCGCACGTGTTGGAAAAAGGTGACATCATAGGACTGGTAGTAGAATATAATCTGGGAGCCTATGATGAAACCCGTGTCAATATTTCAGTGTAGGACGCCTTTATAGCCTCTTTGATTCTCATAGTATTTTCTCTCCATCAGAATTTTCAAGATTTCTACTGTTCCGTGTCCGTGTTTTGAGTCGTAGGAAATTTCAGGCTGAACATATGATATAAATCAAAAGCATTAACAGTTTGATGCAAATAGACATCTGTAACATAACCCCAAAATAGAGCGCTGAGACGGAACAGTACAAAACTATGAACATCAAGGAGGCCATCCAGGCGTCTTACAATAATTGTAGGAACGACTGACGATACGAGTTTAAAGCCTTTAATCAATATAGCCGTCACAAAGATATTGTTTTTGCAAAAAAAAGTTTGATCTCCTTACTATTTCTCACTTGATGTCCAGTAGTTGAGTTACGTTAACCAGCGCCTCAAGATACCCAATTAAAATAGGCATTAACAAGGGTCAGAAAGGGAATAAAGATCCTAGGGCCATCTATAACTTTCAAGTTATGTAACTATGACTTCGAAGTTAAATGTTGCTTGTGAATTCGGTTAACCGTTGATATGGCAACGCTACTTTTGTGCCTGGATTATTATGCCTTTTGTGGTGGTCGGTATTTGTGCCTCGTGTGACAACTTATGTCAATGTCAAGCGCTTTAGGCTAGGCGTCGCGGTTTGACGAAGACTTTATAGTTATCCCATACATAGTCCTATGGTTGAGGTAAACCACCTCTTGATAATGAACGCTGTTTGAGAGTTAACTTCTGGTTAGCAGACAAGCTGCTTGCAACTTGCGATAGAAAAACCAGCATGGGTTTTACGTAACTTAAAAAGTGACATTAGGTCTATTTTTTGTGGGTTATTTTGAACTTATGTAGGTTTTCTAGCCAGACATCAACTTGTAACTAACAGGGTGTTTCAGTTTATTGTTGCATAACTTTAAGGTTCGATAGAACTTTTAAAATTAATGCATAAAGTCTATATAAACATGGGTCGAAAAATGCGTGGCTTCCGAAATACAGGGTGTTTAAATTTACTTTTTAAAATAGTTTTTTTTAAATATTTCGAACAATATTTGATGTATACCAGTGAAAATTGGTAGACAAGGGTTTTTCGGTAAGACAAAACGAACCATGGGCATAGTTTTACTGTAGCCGCTAGAGGTCGCTCTCTACTGTACTTGTAGTGTATTAAAATGACCTAAAAATTTTTCTTAGTGCAATCTTTTGCTTTTTGAATGAAAAAACTAATTCTTCGCACTTTTCTGCATAAAAAAGCCATCCCGTGAGTTTTCGTTATAGTTAGCCGTTTTTGAGATATTTCGATTTTTAAGGTTCGATGCATTTTTAATTATTTATGGGAAAATTAATACTTTTTTTTAATTTTCGATTTGGGCATTACAAGTAATTAAGATGATCGTTTAGATTGTGTTTTTAAACACAGCAATAATAATTCCTAATACCAAATAAACACAAAAAACAGAATATTAATTTGTTTAATTTTCCAATATTATTTTTAACAAATTAAATTAATTATTTACAACTAAAATGCTATTGGATAGTTAGGACAAACATACAAAATCTAAAGTAGTTGCTCGAAATGTAAACCCAATTGTTCAATACACAATTCACATCTACGAATGATCGAACGTGGTATAGCATTATTCAAATAAGGCCCTATTTCATCACATGCATTCCTGATTCGGTCTATTAGCATATCTCTTGTGGTTACGGGAGTCTGGTAAACTTTTTCTTTTAGATATCCCCACACAAAGAACTCTAATGGATTTAGGTCAGGGGATCGTGGAGGCCAGGCGACTGGTCCTCCACGGCCTATCCATCTTTCTGGATAATTTTCGTCCAGCCGGTTTATAACTATTCTCGAATAATGAGCTGGACAACCATCAAGCTGGAACCAGGCCAATCAATCTTAAATCTAACATAACATCATCCCACATATTTGCATGTTCAGCCTTTAAAAATTCCAAGAAGGTCGCAGCATTTAATCTTGCAGGCAAAAGGTAGGGTCCAAATAGTCGATTACGGTCGATACCAATCCACACGTTCACACTAAATTCATGCTGAAAATTTCTTTCCCGAACTGCATGCGGATTTTCATGCGACCAAATATGTTGATTATGAAAATTTACCACTCCACGTCTAGTGAAGCATGACTCATCGGTCCATAAAACGTTACTTCATAACTCCCTATTATTATCAGTTCTATCAAGAATCCACTGACAAAATGTGATTCTTCGTTCTCCGTCCCCTGGCTGTAGTCCTTGAACAGGTTGCAAATGGTAAGGACGTCTATGGTCATTTCTAAGAACACGGTGAACATGGCTTGCTGAAATTCCCAAGGCACCAGAAACTCTCCTAACACTTGTGGTCGGATCTCTATCAAACTCACGCAGAATCATACGGGTAAATCTGCGCTGACGAACATTTATGTTTTGATCCCTTTGGAGATTTCCAAAACAATTTTCAATTATTTGGCGATGCACTCTTACAAATACTGAGCGAGCTGGATGTCGTCTGTTTGCGTTTCCATTTACAAAGCCATATAAAATGAATATCCGCTAACTCTTGATTGGAGAATAAAATCGGCATTTTTATAAAACTTGCAAAAAAAACAGGTAAAAGGAACTAAATTTCGTGCATTCACAATTGCAAAAAAACGTTTCAGGTTTCAACAGACAACAAAACTAACTGTCAACAAATTGACGTTTAACCTTAATCTGCTTTCAATTTCAAAAATACTTGCAAGCACAGCATTACTTCTAAAAATTATCGAGATACTGACTTTTTAACGTTATTTTATCATAAATAATAAAAAATGCATCGAACCTTAAAAATCGAAATATCTCAAAAACGGCTAACTATAACGAAAATTCACAAGAGAGCTTTTTTATGTTGAAAAGTGCGAAGAATCAGCTTTTTTATTCAAAAAACAAAAAATTGCACTAAGAAAAATTTTTCGGTCATTTCAATACACTACAGGTACAGTAGAGAGCGCCCTCTAGCGGCTACAGTAAAACTATGCCCATGGTTCGTTTTGTCGTACCAGAAAACCCTTGTATACCAATTTTCACTTTTATACATCAAATATTGTTCGAAATATTCAAAAAAACTATTTTAGAAAGTTAATTTGGAAGCCACGCATTTTTCGACCCATGTTTATATAGACTTTATGCATTAATTTTAAAAGTTCTATCGAATCTTAAAGTTATGCAACAATAAACTGAAACACCCTGTATAAGTTTCTTACGTGATAACCCTATGAAGTTTTTTTTGAAATGATGCATTTTTTCCTATAAAATAACTCCCTTGAGAACCAGCACACATTTACTTCTGCTCACTTGTAGGTAGATACTAGGCGGGGAGTGAAGTAGCGGCTACCTAGTGCACAACTTGACAGTTTACCCATCTTTTTGACATTTTATAGATGTTTCACGTAATAACCCGGTTGCCCCCGTATATATGTTTTGTAGAATAGCGGCGCCCATGCTTCATGTGAGTCCCCGTTTTCATCCAACCGCTTCAAGTTTTACTCACAACACTCTACAACGCCGGATTGTTAGTATTGCTACGGTTAAGCTTTCAGTGTATTTTTGTGAGTGTAAACACAGTTCTGCTGATAACGCAAAGCCTTGCACGGGCAACTGCAAGCTAGGGGCGTTCATTGCGGTAGTGAGTCTTCGTCGAGACAGCGTCCTCAAGAAAGTGGAGCTTTGAGAAGGCACGCGAAGGTAGCAGATATGGGTTGCTTTAAAGAGTGTACTGCGGGATTCGCGAAATATATCTTGTTTCTGTTTAACCTGTTGATTTTGGTGAGTAGCCAGAGTATATAGTACTGTAAAACAGTAGCGGTGTATTCCTAAAAAAGTATTTAGATTTTTGAGCTTCTTCTCGTACAAATATCGGCCACCCATTAAGTTATTAGCTTCAGATTCAGATACGAAAATCATGAAATTATAGTCGAATAGCTCAGTAGTGAGCGCAAATTGCCTAAATGCTAGAAAACTGGTATTTTCAGCCTCCGGGGACTAGGTATTTCATGCTACCATCAGGTATGGCTTTCGAACAAATTACTTTAGATAGTAGCTCAAAATTCCATATTACCAGTGGTGGAGTGAACCGGAAAATGAGAACAGGTCTATGTGACGTCCCTGACGTAAGCTTCTGATTCAAATTACGAACTACAGTCGACCAGCTCAGTAATGAGTACAGTTCGCCTATATGCTAGAAAGCTGGTATTTTCAGACCGTGAGCGCCATTTTTTGTTCCTTATTATGACGTAAATACCCCTCCTACTGTGATTAGGCCTAATTGTTCTACCGCTGTAAATACCACACCTGTTAAACTAAACTAGGGCTATACAGGGTGATTCCGATAAACGACACGAACGAATAGGTACAAATGAAATTAAAAAAATCGCAGAACCCAAACGAAGAATTGTGTCACCAACAAACTCATATATGTTGTAGAGGTCCTTAGAAGTACATGTTTACCTATTTTTTCGGTTTTGAGGAGTTAAACCTTATGTGCAGAGAATCACCCCTGACTTTTCCTTTAACCTAAAGAACTTACAGACTTGAGACCTATTGTTACTAGTCAAGTTACATTACCAGGGGTTTTCGCAGAGCTCAGTAAATCTAATAAAAACATACTTAAGCAACCGTTCAAACTGTGTTATGTTAGCAAATGATTCCGCTAGTTACAAAACCGTTTTTAAACCTATAAAAAAAGGAGTTCCTCAAGGTTCAATTTTATCTCCTTTGCTATTTTCAATCTACATATCTGACATGGTCAAATCGGTAAAATACGCAAAGATAAAACAATATGAAGATGACTCACAAATAATCTCCCTTTCAATGAAACCACATATTCCACACGAACAACTAAATTCAGATCTCCAAAGGATTGACAGATTTGCAAAGCATCACAATCTTAAACTGAACCCCTCAAAATGGTTATGAATAAATACAGTAATGAAAGAGAACATTTTGAATAAAATTTAGTAATTTCTATTAACAATCCAGGCATTATATTTGATAGCTCGCTTGGATTTGGAAGTCATATAAAAAACAGAACAAATTTAGCTTACAGAAGAAAAAATGCATACAAAAAGTTCAAAATAGTTGCATGAGATTTGCGTTTGGAATTCCATATCGAAGCCATATCACTCCTTATCTGAATAACTACAACATATTAAACATGACGAATCGCAGAAAATATCACATGTATTCTTTTATCTAGAGGAGCAGAAATAATCGTAGTTCGAAAGCTTTTTTATTGTTAGAGAAATCATAATTTCTCTTTAATATAGCCTCAGAATGGTAGATTGTGGGTGCTCCTACTTGGTGAAACTTTTCAGTCATGCGATTTGCTGTGTCTCACAATGAGACATTGAACAAGTCTTAATGCGATCGAAAAGCATCGTCAGACTCAACTTGGCATTAACTGGCTATGTAAACTCCTTGAGTCCTGTCATGGATACAAAGTTCCTTGTTCTTGTCCTATTTGCACTGTCTACCTATTATCTTCTAGTGGATTTAAATATTTCTTTGTTTGTCTATCATTTTCACGCGCATTTCTCTTTATTGGGGGAATATGGCTAATGACTAATAAAAATGTTAACCTGTCAAAAGGTGCTTAAGACAAATCATCATGCCTTAAGAGATTTTATTCTTGAGATATCTCAGATCAAAATCAGCGCAAATTCAATAGAAGTAGACTTGCATCGTTTGTTCCTGGGAGGCCTAGCGAAAAACTTAGGCTGTGTACAATTTTATTTTAGGAATAATGCCAAGTTCAGACCTCTAAACAGCATAATATTTTTTGGCTTAACGCTTTTATCAGCCATTTGCTTAGAATATACCGTATATTTAAAGAAGATTTCTCTTATCATAACATTGTAAACAGCATTGAACGCACCTTACGATAACCGGTGTTTAATCAAATAATCGCTGATAGAATGCCATAGTCATTGCACACGCGAAAATCTAGATTCTTCAAGCTTTACAAACGTGCTTATTTAGGACAAACTAGTGAGGTTCTTAACTTTTATAACCTCTCCGAAGAATGGATTTTTCATTAATTTGTATGACTTAAAGGTTTCAATAAGAGGCTGTGCTATTTTCAGTTTATATAGTGTCACTAGTATCACGAAATCTTATTTCCCCAGAAACAATATCATGACCCATAAAAATGCTAAATGATATAATAGCAGCTACTTTATGATGACATTGTATTGACATTTATAGCTTAATTTACGATTTGTCTTAACACTTGATGCATAGAGATATAGTCTGTGCTACAGAATAAAATCAGAGAAAAAGATCTGATGAATCTATTGTACTTCCTCATTTACAATACTTGAAGTGGTATCTAGCTTGATATATTTAGCTTAAAATAAAGCTCTGCATGTAACACTCGACTTTTGATTTCACCAAATATCTAAAGCCTCAGCCATGACAGAATCTTATAGTGACTTAAGTGATGCATTGAGGTTTCTACGTAGTCTCTGAAAAATCATTAGTTCCGCATATTGTCTCCTGCTCTCCTGTATTTGACTTGTTAAATCGATTTTCTAGAGTTTTCTCGACCAATTAACACACCTTTGTGCTTAAAAACATGCATCAGGTGACTTCCTGTATTCGTGGAAAGATAATGCGCTATCTCGCATCAGATATCGACGATACTATGATCGTTCAGTTCTATTATTGGAATGAATGAATGAATATATATTACGTGCCAATTAACAAAACATTTGTTTTTACACTTGTCATAAAAATTACTGATGACGTATACAATACATATAAAAGTATAATTGGTAAAAATAAAATGAAATATAATATAAAGGTGTAGTAGGCCAGATCACACACATAGGGGGGTCGCGATAAACTCATTCAAGGAATAAAAAGGATGTTTAACTAATTCTTGCCAAAGTGTATTTTTAAAATGTTTTAAAGTAAGATTCTTAGTAGTGTTTTTTAGCTTGTTATATACCCTAACATCAAGTGAGTTTTTATCTGAGATCTTTAGCCTGTGAGCGCTAGGTTGAAGTAGATTGGAATGCCTGGTGTTATATCCATGAACATCCGAGTGCATTGAGAATTTATGCTTGTTCTTATGAATCTCAACAAGGCTCTGATAGATGTACATTGAATAAATTGTAAGCATATTCAAGTTTATAAAGAGTGGCCTACAGTGGTCACGATAACCAGCTCCCGCAAGAATTCTAATTGCTTTTTTTTGTAATATAAACACTCTATTTATATGGGTAGAATTTCCCCAGATTAATAAGCCATATTGAATGTGAGAGACGATGAGGGAGTAATAAACACTAACAAGGCATTCATTACTAAGGCAAGTTTTTAGTCTGCGTAATAAGAATATGTTTGTGGCTAATTTGCTACATAGGGTTTCAATGTGCTTTGTCCATTTTAGTGAGCTATCAATTGTTATGCCAAGCAATTTTACACATTTGTTTTCTGCAAGAGAAGAGTTACTAGTTACTACTAGCCTGTTAGTTTTGTCTGAGTTTAGGCATAAGCTATTCTGTTTAAACCAGTTGTTTGCCTTATCTTCAAGCTGTTTAGATAAGCTTTGTAATATATGAAGGTTTTTGTGACTCTTTATAAGGGTGGTGTCATCTGCGTACAATACACAAATATCTGGTAATAAGTAGTAATAAAGATCATTAATGTAAAGGGAAAAAAGTATTGGTCCAAGTATGGATCCCTGAGGGACACCATAATTTACACCTTTAATTTCTGAATGTTTATTATTACTACTAACGAGCTGAGATCTTCCAGTCAGATATGATCTAAAAAAGCACAGAGACACCCCACGAAAACCATAATAATGCTCCATTTTACACAGCAGCTTCTCATGATCCACACAGTCAAAGGCCTTGCTAAGGTCACAAAGGGTAATTTGTACACTTCTTCCCCCTTCAAGGCCCTGGACTATGTGGTCAATAAGTTCCGCTAGTGCATTTATGGTTGACAGACCTGGCTGAAAACCAAATTGCTTTGGATTAATGATGTTATTTATTTTTAAAAATTTTAAAAGGCGGTGCTTTAAAATTATTTCTAAAATTTTGCCAAAGATAGGAATTATGGAAATGGGTCTAAAATTGTTTACATCAGATTGGTCACCTTTTTTAAAAACTGGTACTACCTTACTAATCTTAAAAACATCAGGGAATATTCCCTGAGAAAGACAGGAGTTATATAGATGAGCAAGTGGTGTAGCAAGAGTATTTGCACAGTGTTTTATTACTTTGCTGTTTAGGTCATAAATATCAAGAGATTGCTTATTTTTTAATTCACCAATATTTTGGATAATATTGGAAAAATCACTTGATCCGTAACGCACTTATGAAACTTATTTCATCAATCATACTTGTGTGAATAATCAAAATGATCTTATGACGAACATCCATGACTCATGAGTCATATAGAATTGTGGATGAATGAAGTCTGATGTGTTTATTGCGGTTATTAAATTATTTCGTGATTATTTCATGAAGGATTTTAGTCTACATATCAGTTACAAGGCTGATTTATAATTATTGTTTCTTTTATATTGTAAAATAGGATGATAATGGTTAAAATATGCAACGAATTCCTTTTATATTAATTGATTCATATTTGATAAATGGATTTTGTTTGTTGAGCTTAATAAAGATATACAGGGTGTTCCTTAATGATATGCGAATATTTAAGGGTGTGGATATACATGAAAAATTAATGTTAGTTTGCTTTATTAACCGAAATTTCCTACCTTTCAGTAGTTTTAGAAGCCAAAAGGGGAAGCCTTTTTGGATTAGTTTATACAGGAGGTCCGCATGCCACACCTTGGCAAATGCTTTTGAGACATCCAAAAGCAAGATGCCAGTACTTTCGTTAAGGGCGAATCCTCTGGTTACTCGTTCCACCAGCCTAACCGCTTGTAGCTCCGTACTATGTTCAGACCGAAAACCGAATTGCACGTCAGGAATCATATGGTGATCTGACGAGAAATTCTGAAGTTGAAGCTTAGACGGAGCTGACAGCAGGCTAATGGGGCGATAATCCTGGGGAAATATCGAACCCACCTTCTTTGGAATCATTATAACTTCAGCGGTCTTCCACGCGGATGGGAAGTACTGGGTCCTTAGCATGGCATTGACTATTGCCATGAGATAAGTTAAGGACTTCCGCGAAAGCAGCATCAGCGCCTTATTAGTGATATTTAAGGGTGTGGATATACATGAAAAATTAATGTTAGTTTGCTTTATTAACCGAAATTTCCTACCTTCAAGGAAGGATTTCAGTAGTTTTAGAAGCCAAAAAGGGAAGCCTTTTTAGATTAGTTTATACAGGAGGTCCGCGTGCCACACCTTGGCAAATGCTTTTGAGACATCCAAAAGCAAGATGCCAGTACTTTCGTTAAGGGCGAATCCCCTGGTTACTCGTTCCACCAGCCTAACCGCTTGTAGTTCCGTACTATGTTCAGACCGAAAACCGAATTGCACGTCAAGAATCACATGGTGATCTGACGAGAAATTCTGAAGGTGAAGCTTAGACGGAGCTGACAGCAGGCTAATGGGACGATAATCCTGGGGAAATATCGAACCCACCTTCTTTGGAATCATTATAACTTCAGCGGCCTTCCACGCGGATGGGAAGTACTGGGTCCTTAGCATGGCATTGACTATTGCCACGAGATAAGTTAAGGACTTCTGCGAAAGCAGCATCAGCGCCTTATTAGTGATTTGATCCTCCCCAGGTGTTTAACGCACTTTAAGGTCTTTAATATGACCTTGAATCTCTGCTGGTGTGCAATGCAGGATTTCGGGAGATTCCGCTGATGTGCTAAGCAGATTTCGGTTGAGGAAGCTTCTGAAGAAGAATCTTCTGATGAAGAAAAATCACCAACGGTAGCGCGACTGTCACTGACGCCGTTGGCCCTAAAATACCTCCTGACAGATCTTACGGTGTGTTGCTCCTCGTCGAGGTCAATACTGTCCTTCCATAGCATCGGCGAAAACCTCAACCTTTTCCTCCGTCCTGAAGACAATGCGTCCAGGACCGTGGATGCGTGGGATTTGTTCACGCTTTCCGTTTCTGAGCGACATCGCCACCTTCCAGAGGGGAATGCTTGAGTCAAGCATCCCCGCCAGAAAGTCGTTCCATTGCTCATTGCGGAACTCATGAAGAGCATTTCTTACTTCATGAACAAGATTCGTCGCTCTGCGAATGTCATCGGGATGACAAGACCTTTTCGCTTGCTTAAGTGCAGCCCTTTTATCAGAAATTTTCTGATGAATGTCTGCTGGCAGAAAAAGTCTGCCGTGTCGCTGCACGCGAAGTACAGCTGCACGCTGCAGAGCTTGCTGAACAAAACTTGTCCACTCCGCTTGAGCCGCATCTATACCATTCTCATCATCTATGATCGGAATATTATATAGCTCCAAATCAATACAAAACTGTCCATGTTGCAAAGCAACTGTCCACCAGTTTAGTTTAGAACTGGTTTGGAATCAATTCGGAATTTGTTGGAACAGAGAATTGCCAGTTACGTAAGCAGTTTCCCTTCTGTTTCTGTTGGAACGGTAATTTTAATCTGCGCATGCTCTGTTCACTTTAGTATACTAGTTCGGTGGTTTGTTGAACAAAGCTATAATTGAACTTCCTTGAAATCAGTCTCAACTCTAGAAAATTCGATAAATACTTTGTTACATTTTTTGTTGCCTTCCTCGATGCAGTAATTATATTCAATCGTTTGTTTAGCCATTGTGTTTTTCACGCTGTGGTCCACATCCGATTGAAATTCCATCTATGAAGTATTTCCTGCTATTTGAAAAATGTCATAGATACGGGTAAAAGTAATTTTTATCTTGCTTGCTTTAAGGTTTACATACGCAACATGCGTCGTCTTATGTACGTGTGCCAGAATCAATATGACATAACACATAGGGGAAAGCGGGGCACAGTGACATTGGCTGAAATTTCAATACAATCCAAATATACTAAGTGACATATAAATCCGAACACCCAGTTTAAATGGTTTTATTTTAATAAAAGTTGGTGAATGTATTTATCTTACTGTAAATAACAAGTGAAAAAATTTTCAGCCTTATCAGTTGGACATTCCGGTTTTTATACTGCTTTCTTTTAATTCACTAAGGCTCTAAAAATGAATATTTCAGCCTCAGTAAAGAATCAACGTTGGTGGATTTTGGTTCTTGACATCCTTTACGATCGGTTACGATGCCTGGAGTACGGAGACCTGTACGATTTCGTCAACTTAGTGAGTTTGATAGGGGCCGTATAGTGGGACTTCGAGAAGCTGGACCTTCTTTTCGGGCAATTGTAGTTAGAGTGCAAAGAAGTGTAGACACTGTGGTTAGGTGTTGTCAGGCATGGCTTCGAGAAGGCCGTACGCAAAGAGCAAGGGGCACTGGACGCCGCCGTAGAACAACAGACCGTGAAGATCGCCGCCTAAGATTATTGGCCTTAAGGGACCGTTTCTCCACTACCAGGTCCATTGCAAATGAATGGTTTGCAGAACACGGAAGACCTATTGGCATGCGAAGTGTTTACCGACGAATGAGAAGTTTTGGCTTGTTTTCATACCGGCCACACTGGGTCCTCTCTTTAACTCGAGAACTCCGACGTAATCGCCTTGAGTGGTGCAGACAACGGCACTCTGGGATCAGGAATGGAACAGTATTGTCTTTAGTGACGAGTCTCGATTTTGTTTAGGCATGCACGATGGTCGTGCCAGGGTTAGAAGGCGACGTGGTGAAAGGAGGAATCCACAGTTTTTTGTTGAAAGACATGTTCATCACACTGTTGGAGTTATGGTTTGGGGTGCTATAGCTTATGGTTCCAGGTCACCTTTAATCTTCATCAGAGGTAACATGAACGCGCAGCGTTATATCCACGAAGTTCTAGAACCCCATCTTTTACCCTATCTTGACACCCTGGCAGATCCAACTTTCCAACAAGATAATGCCCGACCACATGTTGCAAGAGTCACAATAGACTTCTTTCAACATAATGATGTCACATTGTTACCATGGCCACCAAGATCTCCCGACTTATCCCCAATTGAGCACGTGTGGGATATGATGGGTAGGAGATTGCTCAATTTGCAACGTCCTCCTCAGACTCTAGAAGCACTTCGAGAGGAGTTGGTGGTTGCCTGGAATGAGATACCACAGGAGGACATTGACCACCTGATCATGCGTAGCACATCAGGGTGCATCCACACATTATTAAATGTCAAAGGGCTTTAAAGCAGTGCAATCATTTTGAAATTTTTATCATTTACTTATTATGCTTCATTAAGTACTTATACAAAATTTTACTAAAATAAAACCATTTAAACTGGGTGTTAGGATTTATATGTCACTAGTATAGCTTTGAATCTGTTGGAACAGATATTCTGATTTTCTTGTATATTATTTAAAGAGGCCTAACGATGTTGCGAGACGCAAAAATTACGCAGATGTTGTTTAAACTTTTTTTTCGTTTTTTTGGAGTCATTTTAGCTGATAGTTTTCAAGAAATAAGCCATTGAATATTTGAAAAAGTAAACAATATGTCGGCCCAGAAAAACATTATGAAAAAAGGCATCAAGTAGGTCGACTCCGTATTTCCCTCGCAATTCTGGACAAATTTTTACTGTTTGTCGGCAATGAAAATCTTTGTACATAAGATCTTCGAGTAGAATGAATATCATTGAAAAAAAGCATTGCTCATTTGGCATTTTTTGTGATCACACGCCAGTAGGCGTGGAGAGTAAAACGAAAACTTCAATATCGAAAAAGTTCACAAACCATCCATCAGCAAAATTACAAAGCATTTTATGGGGTATTGCTGCTTTTTGTGATTATTAACCAAGAGGATAGCAGCGTGAGACCAAACCTAGACCATGCTGATGAGTTGCTAAATAGCGCGAGACAGCTGTTCATGCTTGAGCGTCTAGACAAGAGCAGCCACAATCGACGGCATCTAGTGGCCACTGTGATGACCTGGCTGTCAAATGCGAACTGAGAACAGACAGCTTGCCGTTTTCACTCTCGCGTCGATTCTGGCAATAGATGGCACTTTGCACTGTCTTATTCCAGTAGCTAATATTATCAGAATAGGTTGAACCAATTGACACTTCATTATGGAGAACACGATTTTTTTTGAGTTCCTCCGAAGATCCTTAGATCTCCTCAGACTCTTTGGGTTTGTTCAAATTTCTTTGTATACTGAAAAATGAGTCGAATTAGCGACCTCAGTCTATAATGGGGACATAAACGTAAGCATGCTATCGATCTCTTCAGATCCACCTATTTCCTTGGGTCGTCTCAGGCCTTTTTAGATTGCCTCTGATCTCCTTCCACTGAGATGGAAAAACTTGGACTGCTGGGAATTCAGGACCGTCTTGGCAACAATAACCTTGGTGTTGGGGAAAATCGAAGAGCCGAAGGGCGGATAACTTTGGGTATTTGGGGCACCTCATCACGTGGGAGACACGTGTCCATAGGGTAGAGACGGAATAGTCGGCATGTCCTCTCTCAGTGATAGTACAGATTTGAATGATTTAATGACTTTGGAGCACGGACTCATCATGCATCTTTTATTTTCCAGGTTGCAGCCATAATACTGATAGTTTTTGGAGTAAAGAACAAGGCAAACAATGGAGGGGTTGAGATTATGTCCGTTGGCACCTTTGCAATCGCTATCGCCGTCGTTATTGCCCTGGTAGCTTTCTTCGGATGTTGTGGGGCTGTGAAAGAAAGCCCTTGCATGTTAACAACGGTAAGTTCGAATGAAAAAACATGATTATAACAAAATTATAGACACCTTCTAGCAACGATTTTCAAACGGTTTGCAATCGTTAAATTCGCTTGACTAAATGAATCGTCAAAAAGTTGTGCTTTCCCTTTCTGTCAAACTAAATTAGTTAGCTTTATCCGACTGATCACAACTGTCAGAAATACGTTGCCAGAACAGGCCTTATATTTATGGATAATTAATAAATGTTTGAAAAGTCATGAAATGCTAGTCACTGCAATGTTTCTGTTCTGTCTAGTAATTTTAATCAACCAAACACTTTATTCACCTCTAATTCTATATGCAATCTATACAGGGTGCTCGCAAAGTTGGGGTTTTCCTTTTCAGAAACAACTACCCTTGAAATAACAAAGGTAATGTGTAGTGAAACGAGGGCGACCAAGTAAAAAAAAATAAAGGAAAAAGTACTCACTCTCCAGTTGACGAGAAGGGCTAAGTACGTCTCTGCCCGAAATCATACCGCTCCAACAGAAAATGAAATCAGCTGATGCGCTACCGAGCAGAGGTAAACAGTCTAGGTATTGCATCCCGTCCAATCGATTTGGGAGAATAAATGGTCCAATGAGCCTAACGTTCACCATGCCAGCCCAAACATTCACCGAAAATGTTTGTTGAAAATGTGCCCGACGGACAGCGTGCGGATTTTCTACTGACCAAACATGAGTGTTGCGGAAGTTATTCACCCCATTACGCGTGAACGTAGATTCGTCTGTCACCAATATGCACTTCAAAAAGTCCGGATTATTGTCATGTTGATGCAACAACCACTCACAAAACCGCACTCTTGCTGGAAAATCGTCAAGTTGAAGGGCTTGTACACGTTGGACGTGAAACGGATACAGCCCCTCTTCACGCAGCGTTTGTCACACTTTAGTTTTTGATACTTGCACTTCTCTAGCCACGTCTCTAGTGCTTGTTGTTTTTTGAAACGCAATCGATTATACGAGTTCGTTTACCTCTACACGCATGACCGTAACCGTCGGTTGAAGGTTGCATACTGACCTGACACACTGACCCCGACCCCCGACCCAGTTCTGTCGTCGGGTTGAGCTAGTAGCCGGTACCAGTTGGAGATATCGCGAGTCGCGGCTACAGGACGGTATTCAGATATTTTTTATGTTGTCCTTTATCTCGGTTCGCTTAAGACATTGGTGTGTATGTTACTAAGAAAAATTGCTTATGTTTTCAAGATCTACACGTCGTGTAAAGGAAAACCCCAACTTTGCGGACACCCTGTATAATTCCATAGCAGACAGTCCTGCAATTAGTTTTGAATCTTTCAGTAAAATTTTTTGAATTTTTAGGGATTATTACAATAGCTAATTTTTTATGTTCGGTTTATGTGGCTCTTGGATATATAGGTACACTAGTTAAGTTACCATTATAATTATTGCCCTGTAATTGGATCATTTGTTGGATAATTATGTATAAATAAATAAATATATAAATAAATAGACAGACAAAGTGTTCATACGTCTGTGTTCATGGGCTCATGGAACTTTAGAGCAATTTCCCAGATAGTGAGGTCTTAAAGTTGACCTTTTATCCCTATAGGGTGATTGATAACCATGAGAAGACCCATGCATTATTTTTTTAAATGGAAAAAATTAAATTCTATTGCAGATTTGGATACACCTTTTTAAATGAAGCGATTTGGTATTACTATACGGTTTAATTTTCAGATTGTTGAGTTTTTCGTTTAAAATATGCTTTATAGGTATCACTTCATTCAGCTATGCTATCATTTTATAAACATTGCTGCATCATTAAAGTGCATCGTTTTTTCTATTTTTGAAAACGATCATGGTGTTAGATAAGCAGTGCATGTAGTGTTCGTAGAACAGTCCACCGATAGAAATCTGAATGAGCTCAAACACGCAAAAATTATGTGATTTACCTAGAAAATTATTGCTATCAGAAGTTCTCTGAATATATACAGGGTGGCCAAACACGTGACGTCATAAAAAAAAAAATTAGATTCCCCACATCGAGAGGAACCCAAATCACCCCCATATATATGGTCCGATTTTGTTTAGTTTAGGAGTTATGATTTTTTTTCGGATTTTTCGAGAATTTTTGAGTTCTGTGTTTATTTTTACCATAACTTCGTTAATAATTGTGATAAATGCCTGCTTTTTTCACGATTATGTAGCTAAGACCTAAGGCTTAACTATCATATAATCATTCAAGTCATGTAACTAATACTAGTTTTTAATTTTTTTCAAAATCTTCGAACATAACAAAAAAGTAAAAAAGTGCAACAACTTTGAACGTTTATAAAAAATTGAAAAAACATGTTCTTACTATTTGTAAGTATCTTAAAAACTTCCTTACGGTATCAGCTATTTACCGTAAAAATTTCATCAACCTAGCTTTACTACATGCTACCGTAATTGTGGCTCAAATAGAACCGAACCCAAAATTGGATAACCCTCTGCTCAATAGAAATTGTTAGTTTCGGAAAAAAAAATTGCAAAAACCACAAAAACACGTTTGATTTTTACTGAACAGCAGATTATTATTCATTTATGTTATTTACAAGAGGTTTTCAAAATGTCTGCCTCTAACAGAAATGCACAGTGTACACCTACGTATGAAATTTTGTTTTAAATCTCTAAATGCTTGTGTTGTTTTTCAACACATGTGTCGCTTCTTGAATTTTGTTCCTCAATGAATTTTCATTTGCACATTCTTGGGCAAATGTTATGTCTTTAAAATATCCCCAAACAAAAAAATCAATGGGGTTGAGGTCAGGGGAGCGTGGAGGCCATCGTATCGGTCCGTTTCGTCCGATCCATCTGTCTGGGAACCTTTCGTTTAAGTAGTTTCGCACGATCGTTGCGTTGTGGCATGGTGCACCATCATTCTGGAACACCTTGTTCCGTCTGGCTTCCAGGCTTGAATCTTCCAGCAATAATGGTAGGCTATTTTCAAGGAAGCTTTTGTAGGCTACCGAATCCAACCTTGACGGCAGTTCAAATGGACCGATAAATTCCATATTGAATATTCCTGACCACATGTTCACACTAAAACGGTGTTGAAATGTCGACGGCCTTGACTGGTGGGGGTTTTCAACAGCCCAAGTATGTAAATTATGGATATTGAATATCCCTGTTCTTTCAAAACGTGACTCGTCAGTCCATAAAATTTTATCAAAAAAATCGGGATCCTCTCGTTGTCTTCGCAGCATTGTCTCGCAGAAATCCACTCTTAACTGGTAATCTGAAGGCATCAACGCTTGAACTCTTTGAACATGATAGGCATGATAACCTTCTTCATGAAGAATATTTTGTATCGATGTTCGTGGTATTCTAAGGTTTTGTGCCATAGATCTCGTACTCGTTGAGGGATTCCGGCTAATTTCTCTGCTTTGCATACTGATTTGGACTTTGTTTGCTAAGAAGTTTGTGATGCATTATACGTTGCGTGAATATGCAGAAATGCATTATTATTATGGCGTTGCTCAAGGCAACGGCGCTTTAGCAGCTCAGCTGTACCGGGAACAACTTATACGCCGAGGCGGACCACAACCTGAGCATTACCCAGACCACCGTGTTTTTATTACCACACATAACACTTTCATGGCAGGCCGCATTCCAGGACGAGGAAGCAATGAAGGATATCCTACAGCTGATCCGGATCGCAGAGAAGTAGTACTTGAAGAAATTAGCCGGAATCCCTCAACGAGTACGAGATCTATGGCACAAAACCTTAGAATACCACAAACATCGATACAAAATATTCTTCATGAAGAAGGTTATCATGCCTATCATGTTCAAAGAGTTCAAGCGTTGATGCCTTCAGATTACCAGTTAAGAGTGGATTTCTGCGAGACAATGCTGCGAAGACAACGAGAGGATCCCGATTTTTTTGATAAAATTTTATGGACTGACGAGTCACGTTTTGAAAGAACAGGGATATTCAATATCCATAATTTACATACTTGGGCTGTTGAAAACCCCCACCAGTCAAGGCCGTCGACATTTCAACACCGTTTTAGTGTGAACATGTGGTCAGGAATATTCAATATGGAATTTATCGGTCCATTTGAACTGCCGTCAAGGTTGGATTCGGTAGCCTACAAAAGCTTCCTTGAAAATAGCCTACCATTATTGCTGGAAGATTCAAGCCTGGAAGCCAGACGGAACATGGTGTTCCAGAATGATGGTGCACCATGCCACAACGCAACGATCGTGCGAAACTACTTAAACGAAAGGTTCCCAGACAGATGGATCGGACGAAACGGACCGATACGATGGCCTCCACGCTCCCCTGACCTCAACCCCATTGATTTTTTTGTTTGGGGATATTTTAAAGACATAACATTTGCCCAAGAATGTGCAAATGAAAATTCATTGAGGAACAAAATTCAAGAAGCGACACATGTGTTGAAAAACAACACAAGCATTTAGAGATTTAAAACAAAATTTCATACGTAGGTGTACACTGTGCATTTCTGTTAGAGGCAGACATTTTGAAAACCTCTTGTAAATAACATAAATGAATAATAATCTGCTGTTCAGTAAAAATCAAACGTGTTTTTGTGGTTTTTGCAATTTTTTTTCCGAAACTAACAATTTCTATATCCAATTTTGGGTTCGGTTCTATTTGAGCCACAATTACGGTAGCATGTAGTAAAGCTAGGTTGATGAAATTTTTACGGTAAATAGCTGATACCGTAAGGAAGTTTTTAAGATACTTACGAATAGTAAGAACATGTTTTTTCAATTTTTTATAAACGTTCAAAGTTGTTGCACCTTTTACTTTTTTGTTATGTTCGAAGATTTTGAAAAAATTAAAAAGTAGTATTAGTTACATGACTTGAATGATTATATGATAGTTAAGCCTTAGGTCTTAGCTACATAATCGTGAAAAAAGCAGGCATTTATCACAATTATTAACGAAGTTATGGTAAAAATAAACGCAGAACTCAAAAATTCTCGAAAAATCCGAAAAAAAATCATAACTCCTAAACTAAACAAAATCGGACCATATATATGGGGGTGATTTGGGTTCCTCTCGATGTGGGGAATCTAATTTTTTTTTTATGACGTCACGTGTTTGGCCACCCTGTATATGCATACTCATATAAATCCACATTTATGTGAATTTTTATTTGAATTTTCACCTTGGCTTATATCAGTGACGTGTAGTTGTTATTCTGAATGAGTAATTATAAACATGCATCACTTTTACTTATGGCAGTCAACAAATAATACAGCCTTGGCCAAGAGTATTAGGCACCCTATGGCTCACTGCATTTTCCAGGTGTCGAAAAAAATTAAGCTAGTTTTAATAATTTTGAATGTATATCTCCGTAAAATAATAAAAAGAATATTAATATTTTATTCGATTTACTTTCTATTTTATCATGGCAGCAACTGTGGGGCATACGACGTAAAAAAATTCAAAAATTATGTGATTTACCCAGAAAATTAATGCTATCATAAACAAGTTCTCTGAACATCTGTATGCATACTCATATAAATCCACATTTATGTAAATTTTTATTTCAATTTTCACCTTGACACTTTTGTGTTTGCCTTATATCAGTGACGTGTAGTTGTTATTCTGAATGAGTAAGTTTCAACATGCATCACTTTTACTTATGGCGGTCAACAAATAATACAGCCTTGGCCAAGAGTATTAGACATCCTATATCTTACTGCACTTTGCAGGTGTAGAAAAAAATAAAGTTCGTTTTAATAATTTAGAATATGAAGTTGAGTCATTAATTTTCAGATAATGATTGTAGAAGGAAGATAAACCAAAATATGTGTGTAAAAATAAAAAAAAAAATTAAAAAAAAAAATTTTTACCTTGTTTTATAAAGTATCCTCCCGACAAGTATTTCAGTGCGGACCTGTATTTGATCGTGAGGTCCCCTGTGAGGTCTTAAGTCACCTGATTCACGAGCCCGTTGTACTACATTAACAAAGGCACGAGGGGTTGGTTGCACTCGATTGGGAAACCGATCCGCATAAACATGTGCCATTTTTTATTTCGTTTGAGCCACGCAACAGATACCACTATTCACTGACACTGACTGTATACAAATGAATGAAATGATTGTAAAAACATCGTTCCAAATTCTTTCGCTTTTTTGTTTCCGATGCGATGAACCGATACGGCGGATTATATCCGTTGTCGCCAAACACGAGCACATAATATTATTATTGAGATAGGGCGGTACTCAAACTTCCAAAGGGCTATAACTTTGTTACTTTAATTTTACCAGAAAAATGGTAAAGGAAAAAAACATTTCTTTTGATCAGATCTACTCACTGTTAAAATAAATGACTCAACTTCGACCCTGTATATCTCCGTAAAATGATAAAACTAATATTAATATTTTGTTGGATTTACGTTCTATATGGGGCATACTACGTAAAAGTGAAACACACAGTTGTTCGCACTCTGATAGTAACTGGCACCTATGAGGAATATAAATTAATATTGCAACCTACCTTGTTACATGCAAGTGTGAGTTCCTTAACATATCCTGGTACGATTCCTCTACCATATCGTGACAGGGTTTTGATACCTGACCAGCCATAATCCAGGTAGATAAGAAGAAGTGTGATGTGTCTCTGGGTCTTCAGATTCACGATAGAAATAAACAATTTGTTACTGACACTGAACATTCAATAAATTTTAATAGAATTCACTTGTCGTGGGACAAGACTTTCTATACGTTCAGCAATGTTTAATTACATGAAAAATGTTGTTTTTGTCTAGTAAAATATGCAAAATTGTAGATTTCCGGTAGTACTACTAACTGTAATGTATAAAACTCGTATTTTTCAGTTGTTGGCAATAAGGCGCTAACAACTGTATTTATTATAGGATGTTGATGAAAAAATCATATTTTTGACTTATTTTGGATTAATGAGACTAGAACTTTATAAAAAAAGTTTCAAAACCTTCAGTATAAAAGCCTAAGCGCTATTTATCACCATGTCAGCAATTATTAAAGATAGCGTGCCAATAACTGCAGCTTTATTACAGAAATGTCGACTACATAGTCTTAATTAGGTTGCTATAGATATACTCGTATTGTTAAATGATTCTTTACGTCCTTTGTGTACATGTAGTAAACCTTGGTGCAACATGTATGTATATGTATGCATGTATGTATGTATGTATATACAGGGTGGCGCATCGAAAACGAAACAGACGCATTTACTGGCAGCTCAGTTTTTTTTTGGAAAAACGCTGAGATCCGTCGACTTTGTTTTCGAGGGGGACACAAGTTTGGCAAAAAATCAGGTTAACATGTGCAGCCCCCTGAGCGGGGGTGACACCAACCCTAAAATCTTAAATGGAAAGGGGGGTCGTGTGATACGTTATTTTAAATGTCTTTCAATTCCCTTTATAATGATGTAAAATACATGAGCTTCAGCGCAGTAGTTTTGAAGATTTATTGATTTAAAGCTTAAAGTAGACTTTAATAGGTACATCAGATTAGTTGGCACTACTTTCAGAAGAAATTTGACTAACAGAATTTACTTAATAAGTAAATGCTTTTCTTCAGTACGCCCATGGTTTGTTTACCATTTTGATGTTGAAAATAGCTATTGGGGCGTTTTTTGTGGCAGAAAAGTTATTTCTTGAAGAAAGATAAGGAAATACATATCTCGTACTTATTTTAAATAAGAATTTAGTAGATAGTTTGCGAATGATTTGACTAAACTTTGTTGCTAAGATAACTTGTAACGCTTTACACATAGATTAACCATGGTATATTCCACAGCAGAAAGAGTTGAAATTTTCGAAATATTTTTCGGAAATAATCAGTGCGCTAATAGAACAGCAGAAATATTTAATGAGCGACATGAGAACAGTAACGTGAATCGAAAATATACTAAGTGACATATAAATCCAGTTTAAATGGTTTTATTTTAATAAAATTTGGTGAATGTATTTATCTTACTGTAGATAACAAGTGAAAAAATTTTCAGCCTTATCAGTTGGACATTCCGGTTTTTATACTGCTTTTTTTTAATTCACTAACGCTCTAAAAATGAATATTTCAGCCGCAGTAAAGAATCAACGTTGGCGGATTTTGGTTCTTGACATCCTTTACGATCGGTTACGATGCCTAGAGTATGGAGACCTGTACGATTTCGTCAACTTAGTGAGTTTGATAGGGGCCGTATAGTGGGACTTCGGGAAGCTGGACTTTCTTTTCGGGCAGTTGCAGTTAGAGTGCAAAGAAGTGTAGACACTGTGGTTAGGTGTTGTCAGGCATGGCTTCGAGAAGGCCGTACGCAAAGAGCAAGGGGCACTGGACGCCGCCGTAGAACAGCAGACCGTGAAGATCGCCGCCTAAGATTATTGGCCTTAAGGGACCGTTTCTCCACTACCAGGTCCATTGCAAATGAATGGTTTGCAGAACACGGAAGACCTATTGGCATGCGAAGTGTTTACCGACGAATGAGAAGTTTTGGCTTGTTTTCATACCGGCCACACTGGGTCCTCCCTTTAACTCGAGAACACCAACGTAATCGCCTTGAGTGGTGCAGACAACGGTCACTCTGGGATCAGGAATGGAACAGTATTGTCTTTAGTGACGAGTCTCGATTTTGTTTAGGCACCTTTGGATTGCTTTGTGTGGGGTCATTTAAAAAGCAAAATCTATGCTACTCAGCCAACATCATTAGAAGACCTGCGACAAATAATTGTGAATGAGTGCCTTCAAATTACTCCTCAAATATTGCAAAATGTGCGGTAACATTTTGAGCAAAATGTTTATCATTCCATGGAGAGTCATGGTGGCCATTTTCAACATTTACTTGCCTAACTGGTCAGTTCATTCTTGATTTTTAAATTGCTTTGCTGCCAAATGTATTGATCTCCACTAATGATGATGTATTAGTTTTATTTAAGCTTCAAATCAATAAATCTTCAAAACTACTGAACTGAAGTACATTAATTTTATATCATTATAAAGGGCATTGAAAGACCTTTAAAATAAGGTATCACTCGACCCCCCTCTCCATTTAAGATTTTGGAGGTGGTGTCACCCCCGCTTAGGGGGCTGCACGTGCCAACGTGATTTTTTGTGTGTGTGTATGTATATATATGCATGTATATATGTATATCTTGTTTAAAATCTGCTACTTAACAACTTGTTTTTTTGCATGGGTGGTTAAGTGTAAACTTCGCCACCATATGCAACTCTTGTTTCTCTGTATGAAATTGTACAGTTTAAATAAAGACGATTATCATTATTATATAATTTGATAAAAAGAATCGCATTTTCTGTGAAGCTGTGAATTTATGAAAAAAATCCTTTTTTCAGTATGCCGCAATCCTGATCACCCTTTTCATAATTCAAGTGGTCCTCGGAGTAATCGCCTTCGTAGCTGTGAAGAACGGTCAAGGAGAATTGCAGAGGAAGGTGGAAGATCATCTCAGTGATCTTTACAAAGATAGACGTAATAATAACGAACATCAGAAAGTAATTGATGATATTCAAACGACCGTAAGTATGGTTTTTCGATCGGAAACTGAAAATTCCTTAGTTATTCGAGCATATTTTGAGAATCCATATCAATCGTGCACAAAAGGTCAATTCAATTTTAATTCCTACATTTTGTTGCATAATAATTTTTTTAGCGACATAAAGGTTTTGATATCTAGAAAGCCTTAAGCATCCCACAAACCGGCGCGAAATACTCGCTTTGTCTGCGAAAAGTTCGTGGCGATGAATTCGCGATCAGATTAAAACGCGGCGGTTTACGGACAGGCTCAGACTTGTGCGAAGCGAATGCGATTGTTCCAGCGTTTTTATCGCAATGGCAAAAACAGAATTATTGATAGAAATAGTGAAAAAGTATCCTTGTTTGTATGATTTGTCGAACGATGAATACAGGAATGTGAGAAAGAAAGACAAGATTTAATATTTTTTATTAACTTGTTAAATAATTTGCAGTCTACACAAATGTGAAAACGAACATTCTATATATTGGGCACAGGCATATCAGAATTAAAATAATTTACGAATTTGTCACGAGTAGAAAATGCTAGCCTTGCTGGCCGCCGAGGATCATTTGCTATATCAGTAAAAGCTCCAAGCACGGGTTCTGGGGGATCTAAGAATTGAAAATATTTGTCATCGCCACTTTTACTTCGTAAAAAATTGTGTAAAACACATGCCGTACGTACAATTAGAATAGTAGTATCTAGTTTCTAATGGCCTGTAAAATATTCGCCATTTTTGAGACAAAATACCAAACGCATTTTCCACGACCCTTCTAGCTCGACAAAGTCTTACATTGTATTTCTCTTTTCTGACGTCTGTTAAAGTCTGCTTATAAGGAAATGGTCTCATAAGGTATGGTTTTAAAGCAAATGCTTCATCACCAATTAAGACGTACGAGCAGATTTCATTTTGCCCAGGGAGAAATCTAGGTGCAGGGACACTCATTAAATTTTGTTCAAATCGTTTGCCCATGTTTGAGGTTTCGAAAATACCCCCATCACTATTTTTTCCGAAACCACCAATATCAACACATATAAATTTATAGTCCGGGCCAACAATGGCCATAAGTACTATTGAATATTTATGTAAATAGCACCAGTAATTGGAGCCACTGTTGTTAGGTCTCTTGATTGTTACATGTTTACCGTCCACGCTGCCAATGCAATTGGGAAATCCCCATCTATTTTCAAATTCTTCAGCACATTTTTTCCATATATTCTCTGTTGGTTCTGGTAAATATATATGCTCCATATGTTATGTCTGCATATCGCTTCACAGACTTTGGTTACGATTGCACTCACTGTTGTAAAGCCAACTCGAAAGCTATGCCCAATGGTATAGAAGGTGATGAAGTAAAAAAAAAGGTGGAAGAATATCAAAGACACATTTGCAAAATATATAAAATCTACCAAACCAAAGATAGGCCAAGCAGTGGGCAACATAAAAAAATGGCAGTGGGCTGACTACATGGAATTTTTCCGTCCTTTTTTGGCATTTGCCAAAACGTCGTCTAATGTGAAAGATATTGACGTCATACATTATGAGACTGCCGAATTTAACTCAAATATATATCAGGAAAGGGCTGGAAATGTAGAAACCGAAAATTTGGAAGACCGCGGCCATGGAGAAGATGAAAATGCTGATGTAGATGCAGAAGATGCACAGAACGCCTCGGCAACACAGACAGCATCACCTTCTTCATTGAACACTACAGCAGTGACTACTCCAGGGCACACCTTTCCGCAGACTGCAAATACACCAAAATATAAAACGAGTAGAAAACGCTATGAACCACCATCTTCGTCTGTACAATGGCTCATTAATTATTTTGAAGGTAAAAAACCTAAAAAAGAGAACGAGGCCATTGATTCACTTTTCTTGGCACATGCACAGACTGTGAAAACACTTCCCTTAAAGCGTCAAGCCCGAATAAAACTAAAAATAGCCGAATTAATAGCGCACGAAGAATTTGAACATATTGAAGAAATGTCTTCAGCGTCTACCCAGAATTCTGCAAGTATGTATGATAGTAGTATGTCGTCCTTCCCCAAGCGGCACTGGGTTTACTCCAATAATATACCCAACAGAGGAGGCAAATTCTGCCTTGAATTATTTAGCAACATTTAATCCTAGTGGCATCATGTAGTCCAATTATTACAATAAAGTATTTATTTCACGATCCCTGAAGTTTTCGTATTCGATAAGCCTACTAATTTTAATACATATAATTTATTTACCTGAGTGTAATAGCAAGTCGTTCTTCTGGCGAAATAGCTTCACGATAATTTGTGTCAGATTTTCGTATTTCATCTTTCACCAAGTTCAATATTTCATCGAAACACTCTGGAGTCATTCTAAAATATACGTGAAAGCGCTGTTCATCCAGCCGAAGTTGTGGCATCAAGGTATGGTATTCCCCAAATTTATTTCGTTCCAAGTTAATATCATGTACCCACTTCCTTCGTTTCCTAAACAAAATTGAAAATATTTGTTTTATGTACTTCGTTAAACTTAATACATACCCAACTATCAAATGGCGTTAAATAAACATAACTTACAGTGCATTTTGTTCCTCTTCTAAAGCAAGAAATAGAAGTGCCTCCTCTTCTTCTGAAGACGAGCTCATTGCAAAAGGCAAAAATAAAATGTACGCAACCTGTCGAGCCTTCACGTTCGCGGAGCGAATAAGACGCTTTGGTATGAATAAACAGGCGAAACAGATTGCGAATTTCGCTCTGAATTTCGTTGCGAATACTTCGCCGCGATTATTTCGCGCCGGTTTATGGGATGCTTTAATATGAATCTTTGACGTACATATGAATACAGTCAGTCTACTTGACTTTATTTTATGACCTCCGAAGTTCATTGGCGAGAAAGTATTGTAATAGCAAAACTTTCGGAATCGAGATGTTATGCTTTTGGAGGAGAGCTATGAAGAGCAAAGCTAATTGACGTAGCGGTAGGAGAAGGCTAGAAGTGTCCCGAGGTTATCTGTTCAGCGATCAGTTGGACGGCCCTCCTCAGGACAGCATCGACCATAAATAATGTAGTCGGGGCGGCAGCACCCCAAACGTGTGAGGAATACTCGAGGCTAGGTCTCATCTGGGATTTGTACATAGTGAGGCGTCATGTGGAGGGACATTGACCAGCCGAAATTTGTTTGTTTCTGATTTATTTAGCATTAATGCTAGAATATCCATATTACACAGTATATCACAAACTATATTATGTCTTCAAGACTACATATTTTTATTCAAAATTCCACTACTATGAATTCTGGTTTTCCATGAGATATTTTTTCAATTTCCCTTTGAACATATTCAAACTGACATACATCTAGATATCAATACTTAATTTATTAAATTCGTACAATCCCTTTTGAAATACTGACTTGCTCGTTATATTGTTACTGCAGTTTTGTAAATGAAACTCTATACTTCCTCTAGTAGAATAATTGTGGCACTCATTGTTCAATACAATAAAATTTTCTGAATGATTTGGTAGAAGATGATTTTTTAGCTTGAATATGAAAATGAAAACCAAGTAGGCCATTAAATTTTTGATATTTAACCATTGTAGTTCTTTCAGCATAAAATTTATTCTAGTATATTTTTTTTAAGATGATTCTCATAGCTTTATTTTGTAATATTTGTAATTTTGAAAATACAGTTTCATCTGCAGTGGAATAAATAGTCGAACAATATAACAAATGAGGCAGAATGATAGTGTTGTACACAATTTTTCTTAGAATAAACGCTTAGGCTACACGAAATTCTATAAAAGCAATTTATTTTTTTGGATACTTTTGAAATAATGTATTCATAGTGCACTTCAAATTTTAATTTACTGTCTAGGCATAAGCCCAGATATTTAAATGATTCGGTTGACACAATTTTTTCATGATTAATTGTAAGATTTGTCGTATTTTGATATCAATATTTTCCTATTAGCATATATTTTGTTTTGTTTGTGTTTAGTTTAAGTTTATTTACATTTAACCAATTTATTACGTGTTTGATATCATTATTTCACAGCTCTATTGTAGTTTCAACGTCTTTATTTGATATATATATATATATATATATATATACAGGGTGGCCAAACACGTGACGTCATAAAAAAAAATTAGATTCCCCACATCGAGAGGAACCCAAATCACCCCCATATATATTCTTCATGAAGAAGGTTATCATGCCTATCATGTTCAAAGAGTTCAAGCGTTGATGCCTTCAGATTACCAGTTAAGAGTGGATTTCTGCGAGACAATGCTGCGAAGACAACGAGAGGATCCCGATTTTTTTGATAAAATTTTATGGACTGACGAGTCACGTTTTGAAAGAACAGGGATATTCAATATCCATAATTTACATACTTGGGCTGTTGAAAACCCCCACCACTCAAGGCCGTCGACATTTCAACACCGTTTTAGTGTGAACATGTGGTCAGGAATATTCAATATGGAATTTATCGGTCCATTTGAACTGCCGTCAAGGTTGGATTCGGTAGCCTACAAAAGCTTCCTTAAAAATAGCCTACCATTATTGCTGGAAGATTCAAGCCTGGAAGCCAGACGGAACATGGTGTTCCAGAATGATGGTGCACCATGCCACAACGCAATGATCGTGCGAAACTACTTAAACGAAAGGTTCCCAGACAGATGGATCGGACGAAACGGACCGATACGATGGCCTCCACGCTCCCCTGACCTCAACCCCATTGATTTTTTTGTTTGGGGATATTTTAAAGACATAACATTCGCCCAAGAATGTGCAAATGAAAATTCATTGAGGAACAAAATTCAAGAAGCGACACATGTGTTGAAAAACAACACACAAGCATTTAGAGATTTAAAACAAAATTTCATACGTAGGTGTACACTGTGCATTTCTGTTAGAGGCAGACATTTTGAAAACCACTTGTAAATAACATAAATGAATAATAATCTGCTGTTCAGTAAAAATCAAACGTGTTTTTGTGGTTTTTGCAAATTTTTTTTCCGAAACTAACAATTTCTATTGAGCAGAGGGTTATCCAATTTTGGGTTCGGTTCTATTTGAGCCACAATTACGGTAGCATGTAGTAAAGCTAGGTTGATGAAATTTTTACGGTAAATAGCTGATACCGTAAGGAAGTTTTTAAGATACTTACGAATAGCAAGAACATGTTTTTTCAATTTTTTATAAACGTTCAAAGTTGTTGCACTTTTTTACTTTTTTGTTATGTTCGAAGATTTTGAAAAAAATTAAAAAGTAGTATTAGTTACATGACTTGAATGATTATATGATAGTTAAGCCTTAGGTCTTAGCTACATAATCGTGAAAAAAGCAGGCATTTATCACAATTATTAACGAAGTTATGGTAAAAATAAACACAGAACTCAAAAATTCTCGAAAAATCCGAAAAAAAATCATAACTCCTAAACTAAACAAAATCGGACCATATATATGGGGGTGATTTGGGTTCCTCTCGATGTGGGGATCTAATTTTTTTTTTATGACGTCACGTGTTTGGCCACCCTGTATATATATATATACAGGGTGACTTTGAAGTTGAGTCATTAATTTTCAGATAATGATTGTAGAAGGAAGATAAACCAAAATATGTGTGTAAAAATAAAAAAAAAATTAAAAAAAATGTTTACCTTGTTTTATAAAGTATCCGACAAGTATTTCAGTGTGGACCTGTATTTGATCGTCTTAAGTCACCTGATTCACGAGCCCGTTGTACTACATTAACAAAGGCACGAGGGGTTGGTTGCACTCGATTGGGAAACCGATCCGCATAAACATGTGCCATTTTTTATTTCGTTTGAGCCACGCAACAGATACAACTATTCACTGACACTGACTGTATACAAATGAATGAAATAATTCGTTCCAAATTCTTTCGCTTTTTTGTTTCCGATGCGATGAACCGATACGGCGGATTATATCCGTTGTCGCCAAACACGAGCACATTGAGACAGGGCGGTACTCAAACTTCCAAAGGGCTATAACTTTGTTACTTTAATTTTACCAGAAAAATGGTAAAGGAAAAAAACATTTCTTTTGATCAGATCTACTCACTGTTAAAATAAATGACTCAACTTCGAAGTCACCCTGTATAGAGAATATGATCATGCGGAGAAAAGTACGAGTATATAACAACAAGTAGGAAAATAATGGGCAAAATCCGCAAAGAGGAGGAAAGTGGATTCGAGCAGAAAATAGGATAGGTAACCCGAGCGATACGTATTTCTGCTGGTTGGCTTCATCAGGCGCGAAATGAATGCACATATGAAACTACAAAAGTAGATACACATGCCCACACATCCGGATACGGGTGTAACCTGAGGAAACGAAGTTGGAGCGGAAAAAAAAACGACACACGAAGACCACAACAAGAGCCAACCTACACCTTGTAGTATAAAATGGCTATACGACCTCGAATTTTCAAGGAGACGTCTAACCACCACCAGGCCTGATGAAGCCAACCAGCAGAAATACGTATCGCTCGGGTTACCTATCCTATTTTCTGCTCGAATCCACTTTCCTCCTTTTTGCGGATTTTGCCCATTATTTTCCTACTTGTTGTTATATACTTATCTCCGCATGATCATATTCTCTTTGTAGATCCTTTGGGCTTGAAGTACCACAGCAAGTGGCTATAGCCGGCCGCGTGGTGGTGGTTAGACGTCTCCTTGAAAATTCGAGGTCGTATAGCCATTTTATACTACAATGTGTAGGTTGGCTCTTGTTGTGGACTTCGTGTGTCGTTTTTTTTCCCCTCCAACTTCGTTTTCTCAGGTTACACCCGTATCCGGATGTGTGGGCATGTGTATCTACTTTTGTAGTTTCATATGTGCATTCATTTCGGGCCTGATGAAGCAAAAAAGCAGAAATACGTATCGCTCGGGTTACCTATCCTATTTTCTGCTCGAATCCACTTTCCTCCTTTTTGCGGATTTTGCCCATTATATATATATATATACATATATATATTAATGTATCATCAGCAAATAGTTGAATTTTGCAGCGTTGTAAAATATCAGGAAAATCGTTAATATGTAAAATAGATAGCACACATACCGAAATGTTTTGAATGTTTGATATTGTATCGCCAATTCTAGTTCTTTGACTTCTATTGAACAAATAATTTTGTAATAAGTTGAATACTGAACTTCGAGATTCATAGCAACCCAATTTCGTTAACAATTTCTCCCTGTCAATAGTCTCAAATGCTCTCTTGAAATCTAAGAACAATGTTACTGTAAACTTTTTTTTTCATCCATATTTCGCCTCCTTTCTTCTACTACCATTTGAATTGCTGTTTCAGTAGAATAATTTTTTCTGAATCCTGCTTGAAATTTTGTCAATATCTTATTTTCTTCAATATATTCGATGATTTGTTCACATACATATGATTCCTTCTAAGAGCTTCTCGAAAATGAATGGCTCTATGGCAGAACTCGGCCATCCATCAAAACCGGATGAGCGCTAGGACGCTTTTTGTTCGTGTTTTGGAAGCATTAAACCATACAAGTTTGTTGCATCCCCAGGCAGTGATAAACTTCAGGTCTCTCGTCAGAGAGGAAGCCGCTGGTAGTCTTCTAAATGTTGGAATGTCAGAAAATGCGGAGTCAACGAGACCAGTGGCGCACTTTAGGGGTGGACTCCTGGTTAGGGTATTTCCCTCTATCAATGAGTAGGAAATATTAGTACAATCATCTCATGTCTTTTTTTATTTCAGATGAAATGTTGTGGTGTCAAAGGACCTTCCGATTCTTGGGTAATAGACAACGGAGACGAACTGATGAAAAGTTGTTGTAAAGAAGGAGAATCTTCGTGTACATTCAATACCGCCTACAAGGTTGGCTGCGCTAAACAATTAGAAGATTTTGTGTCAAGCAACATCAAAACTATCGGTGTAGTAGCCATTGTGTTTTCGGCCATTGAGGTATGCAGTGATGTACTAGACACCTTATACAAAGTATTTGGAATACAAAATTACTACTTTAAAATAAGTATTTCAGATACCATACTGGGAAGGTATCTGAAAGATTAGATACAAAATACGTACCTTTTAAATACTTTTTAAAGATAAAATAAGGTAAGCTTACCAAATATTGTCATAGATCCTAATAACGCTACCGCAAGAAACGCATATTTTTCAGGTATTGTATGAAAAATATACTCCTTACCACGTAGTCGGTTTCAGTTAGGCATCTAGTGTATATGCCAAGAATTGTTTTAGTTCTCTGTTATAAGAAAATCAATTCATTAATTGGTGTGTGTGCAATTACAACCCATTACTGTTTAAATTTCTACACTGCTGCAGGTAGCTATTGTTTTATAGATTACGTAACTGATCCTGCATGTTTTTCTAAATATAAAAGGAAATGTTAACTGCATAGCATTTGATCCTAATATTGCTATAGAATGGTTTGACTAAAGAAGATGAAGAAATATTCATTTGTCGCTATTGCAGTTGAATATTTTTTAAGTACCTATCTTTTTATTCTGCGATTTTGAGTTTTAATTTTAATTTTATGTTATTTTTCATTTTGTTTATTTTTCTGAATGTTTTTAATATTCATACAATGTGGCAATAATATGAGCACAGGTAAGCTTAATATAGCCTATTTGTATTTATTCTCTTGAAATGCCTGAAACATATTTTAGAGAAAATATATATACCTCAGTTTTTATTCTGATACTGTGAAAAATGAAAATTGTTTATGGCAATTGCTCTTAAGGTGGCAATATTTGGTATACTTACTTTATATGTTTAAGAAGACGACATTTCGTTGACCGCGCAAATGTGATAAAATATTATACGCTTAAATTTTTTTTTTTACAAAACAAATCAATCACTATTCTTCGATGAGGCTTCATTATCATACTCTCAAAGAAGATTTGTTCCACAGGGCAGAACTGGACAAATATTTTAAATATATTTTTCTTATCGTGAGATAAACACTTATGCTCCTCATGCTGGTATCTATATACTATGTCATGTTTCTAAGTCATCGGTGCCCTCAATAGACCATGCGATTTCATTGTTTTCGCTACTTGCAATCAGAGCCCAGAACATGAACAATAATATTCGTCTTTTAACTTTTTTATAGTCTCTACAGGGTGTCCCGAAAAAAGTGTGCAATATTCTAGCAGCGGTTTCTAGAGCTTAAAATAGGAAGAAAAGTTTATATAAACGTAGGTCGACAATCGTGTTGAGATAAAGACAAGATTTGGTATTCTAGCCTAGTTTTTTATGCTGGATTTAAAAGTATTAACAATTTTAGACAGTTTTGTTCGCAAGCGTATGTAACAGGAACGGACTCAGGTTATTTTAGCCCCAACATTTTTGTGTGATTCTATTTTTGAAATTCAATTTTAGAACTTGTAAATCTAGGGTTTTCTACATAAAAAGGTACTATTATTGAGTATCGATAAATTGTACCGTTTTTGAATAAAATCAAACTAAAAAAATTGTCACATGATAGGAAATGTACTGGGAATTTAAATGAATTGTTGAATACTTATCCAAGGCAACGAAAAAACCAATTCAATTAGTTGGTAGATATTACATAAATACATATTTCTATTGCAACATGGCTAATATTTAGGCAAAAACAAAAGAAACATTTTTTTTCTACGAACGAAATTGAAATTTGTCTAAAAAAGAAGACATACAGTTGGATATACTTAAAACTAGCTTTACAATAAGTGTTCAAATAAATTCCCATTTTGTTGGATACAGAGTATCGCTCGACGGACTAATGATTGCGTATCCCGAAAAGTGGAAAACCTTATTCTTCTTATTTCGTTTGCAGCCTGATGGATTCTTTGAAGTAAATCTTATTGAGTATTTACTTCAGTCGAGTAAACTAGGTCTTCCAATGACCCCCAAAAATAGAAATCCAATGGATTTAGGTCAGGTGAACGTGACGGCCACGCTATAGGACCTCCTCGGCCTAACCACCTATCTGGAAAATTGATATTCAACCAATTTCGAACATTGAGTCTAAAATGTGCAGGGGCGCCATCATGTTGAAAAAACATATTTTCTTGAAACTGCTGACGCACATCCAATGGTATTATATCCATGAGCTCATTCTGAAAAAAGTTCAGATACACCTCTGAATTAAGACGATTGGGAAGTACAATAGGCCCAATTACTTGATCCCCAATTACTCCTGCCCGTAAGTTCAATGTTGGAAATTTGTACGGCGAACAACTTTTCATTTTCATCTGACCAGTGATGCATGTTATGGAAATTAAGAGCACCATTCCTAGTAAATATTGACTCATCCGACCATAATATTCTAGGAATAGTGTTTTCATTTGCTAATATCCACTGGCAAAACTCGATTCGTGGTAAAAAAATTTTACATGCTGTACCCGTTTAAAATGATAAGTATGTAATCCTTGCAGTCTTGTCATTCTTTCTATCTAAAATTATTATTTTTAGGATAACTATCAAATAGGTATTCATAAATTTTTCTTACTATTGATCCATAATTTCTGAAACATTTCGTTTGCTTATTTACGGATTATTTTCAAACATATTTAAAGCAATATCCATACGAGGATTTCTCAGTAGCCTTCCTGAGCCCTGCATGCGCAGAAAACTTCCATGGTTTGACAAATTCCGGTGAATATCAGTAAACATTCGACGTCCAGGTACTATGCGATTGGGAAATCGTCTTTGATATACTCTTACGGCTGCCAATGAACTGCTATTGCAAAACCCGTACACAAAATGCATGTCAGTCAGTTCTCTGTCTGTAAATCTTGGCATTTTAAATAGATTTAATAAATTTTTTTATTTTAATCTACTAATTTTACACTGCTAACAATGTCCGCTTAACGTCAAAATAAGTCATAAAAAATCAAAACAACTTTTGTTTGCAGTCATGGCTAACTATGTATAATCAACAATTCATTTAAATTCGCAGTACATTCCCTATCATGTGACAAATTTTTTAGTTTGATTTTCTTCAAAAATGGCACAATTTATCGATATTCAGTAAGAGTACCTTTTTTATGTAGAAAACCCTAAATTTTCAAATTCTAAAATTGAATTTCGAAAATAGAATCACACAAAAATTTTGGGGCTAAAATAACCTGGGTCCGTCCCTGTTACATACGCTTTCAAACAAAACTGTCTAAAATTGTTAACATTCTTAAATCCAGCATACAAAACTAGGCCAGAATACCAAATTTTATGTCTTTATCTCAACACGTTTCGGAAATATTAAGGAAAAACCATCTTCAGGGGAGCCCCTTTAAAAGACCGTAGCTCACTAAGGGGACGTTTGTCGACCTATGTTTATATAAACTTTTCTTCCTATTTTAAGCTTTAGAAACCGCTGGTAGAATATTGCACACTTTTTTCGGGACACCCTTATAATCTTGTCTAAAGCTTCCGATTTTTGTTCTTCAGATCGAATCATTTCGTCTCAGCTAATACCTTTCCTTAAGCACGGCACGGGTATTATGTAAAAAACCTATAAAACGTCAAAAAAAAAATAAAGGGATAAAGGAGTCACTCAACTACACGTATTGTTGGTTGCATATGTTTTGTGGAGCCGAGTAGTCTGTAGTTTTCATCTCTGAGAAGAAAGTTGCTTGAATATAGCAAGATCGCATCTGGATGATTATGTGTATTGGTCTGCATGTGTATAAAATCAGTGATATTTGCTGTTTGAGAAAATTATTACTGAATATGTGGCCAATGAGGTACAGCTGTGCCCAACGGGTTATTTATATGTTGTCCTTTCTGAAGGCAGGTTACGTTCAAAGTTACAAATTACGATTTTTCCCGTTCTTTAACGAGCAGTACGAGAAATCGCCACCGCACCCGCGTTGTATGCATCACAGAAAAATTATCAATGAAGCATCACAAATCAAACATTTCCGCAATGCCTTCCAGCTAGGCGCGGAATTGTATTTTCTTTTGACATCGCAAAATAAATTTCCAAAAAATTTAAATGACTGGAGATAAAAAGTAATGTACTTCCATAAATATTCCTGTCTGTAGCTTTTTTTGTCTCACTTATTTGTTGACCAGCCAGGGATTTTCTCTCTTGTCTCTCTCATTTTTGAAATTCAGCAAATTTGAATACGTAGTTTCCAGATTGAATAAGAAAAAGCGGATGCGCAACTAATTTCTAGCTTTGAATCTCAAGACAAGAATCCAATGGAATTATCATGAACTCATATTATTATCACACAAATCCTCACTATGCACCTATGCATTGCTGTTTTCTTCTAGCTATAGTATACAACTTACAACTTAGAATTCCAGTAATGACATCTCTGAAACAGATTTTACCTCACATCAGAGCCAAACTTTGACAACTGAAGCATCATGACGTTTAGGCAAAACGAGTTCACAGCGTGTCCATCAGCTAGTGCTGAGCTAGCATCTTGTAGAAAAACCTACATAATGTCACAAAGACCAATAAATACAATTTCAAAAAAAGGACGACATAATGTCACTTTTCAAGATACGTAGGGGAAGGTCGGGTAAAGTGGTCACCCTAAGCCTTGAACGCATGCCAAACAAATAAATGTGAACCTTTTTCAAATCAAATTCATTATATTTTCCCACTAGCTAATATATGTTAGTTTCGATATTACATAGCTTTTAAACGATTGTTCTGATAATTTAAGCGTAATTTAATATTTAAGCCGAAATGGGATGTTAACCACTTTACCTATCCTGGTCGGGTAAATTGGCCCATACAAATTCATAATCGGGTAAAGTGGCCTACTTCAAATAAAATGATAATAAAATAAAGATTTATTCAAATTTTGCATAGAAAAAATATTTATTGTAAGCAACAACACTATCACAATTGTTCAGGTAATTGTTTATAACTCAAAGTCTTTTGATTGTTTATACTTATAAAATTATTAAATAAATGTAACTTTCCTTCATTTAATGACAAACTAAATAAAGTTTTAATTACTAAACTATGAAATGCAAATAAACTCTTCATTATTCATTAACATTCAATAAAAAGAAAATATTCTCACGAACAGAATTCGCAATGAAAGACATCATCGGCGTCATCACAACCCGAGCATGCTTCATGGGCCCATCGCTTGCAGCTAGAGCACTGTATCCAGCCATCTTCATGTTTTGATTTAGACCAAACTTCCCCACAGTAAAAGCATTCAGGGTCATCATCGGCCTCATCATCAGTATCGTCACTTTTCTTAATTTTAGCATTGTTTGTATTTTTACCACGTTTTTTAACGTTGGTTTCAGCTTTAAGTTTTTTCCCAGTTTTAGTTGGTTCAAAAATAGCTTTAGTCACTCTCTTCAGTTCTTTTTTTTGTTGTTGCTGTGTTTTTTCTTCCTGTAACTCATTTTTATAAGGACTACTCGTTAAAATTGCTGTCCCCTCTTTCTATTTATTTTTCTAATTTTAGCCAATGCTTTGGGAATCGGAAATAAGTCTTCAGGCGCTACCGCGAAGGATGTGCTGGGTTGTAGGTCTATGTAAGGGTTCAATATTGGCGAAGTAACTGGTAGCGTTACATTAATATTTTCTTCCTGATCCAATGTTGGTGGCGTAACTTGTAGAATAGATGGAGACTCTACTCTTTCAGGTGTCTCATTCTCATTATTAGCTTCATTTTGTTGTAGTTCCTGCTCAAGAAGAATGTTATCTGTTGTGTCTGCTGGCACAAAATCATAATCTTTGAATACGTGGCGATCCATTGGTTCTACCCCACATTTACGAAATCCATTGATTGCAATGGATTGTTGTGCTGCCTCGCTGTATGCTTCGCCAAAAAGTTTGCTGAATTGGAACACAGTCAAGGCTCTTCCTGGGTTATTGCGAAGATACTTCTCAACTGCACGGATGTAATACTTATTCAAAGGACCCATAAAAGACACCTCCAAAGGTTGCAGTCTATGACTGCAGTGTGGAGGCAGACACAAGACGGTCGTGTGATTTCTTCGTGCCATATCAATGAAATCCAAATTCTTGGTATGTGAATTGTGTCCATCCAAAATTAGCAGTGCTGGATCATCTTCAGTCGGCTTGGCAAATTTAAGAAAATGCTTAAACCATGCCGTAAAAATGTCCAACTGCATCCACCCTGACGAATGACACGCAAAACCAGTTCCTGGCGGTGCCCCATCTTGAAGTTCAACCTTCATTCTCCTCCGGGGAAAGATAATAAAAGGTGGAATGAAGTTACCGCCAGCGGCCATGCAAATTACAACGGTGCTTAATACAGCTCGTTCTGCAGAGGTGATGGCACCCACCTGCTTCTTTCCCTTTTTCGCAAGTACCTTAGAACTCTTGCTCTGCACAGTGGTGAAACCAGACTCATCCACATTGAAAATGCGATGAGGTGGATAGTTTGTTTTAGACCTTACTATTTGAGTGTCTTTATTGAAGTTGTGTTTTATATTGTTGCGTTCAGCTAGTTGAAAGGCTAATTTCCTTACATCCCGCAATGTTAATCCGTAGAAACGATTCTCAAGTTCCAAAATGTGTTGTACTAATTGTGCCTCTTGTACCGGACTAAAAATTGGACGTCGTGACCCCAGTATTTTAACATTTTCAACAGCATGTTTGTTTTTTCCTTGTACACGCCGTTTAAGCGTTGATCGGGGAACACCGAAGACTGTGCTAGCTTTAAGAAAGCCCACTTCCCCATTTCGTACAGCTCTAATAGCTTTTTCCATCGCTTCCGAATCCCATGTCTGCTGCTGCGTCGTCCGTGTATATCTAGTTGGCATATCTAAAATAACACAAACCATTATATGGTTGCAGGAAAAAAGACTAAAAAGGTAAAGTGGCCTACCGGGTCACTTTACCTTACCGATTTGGTAGGCCACTTTACCCGAATTGGCATGCGGCGAAGAAAAAAATAATTCAAATAACAAATGAGGTTATATTGACCTACTTTGCGGTGGAATGAATTGCTCATTTCATACACTAAACCAATAAAATCGTACATTGTTTCTCTGTGAATCTGATGACAATATATTTTTACTATGTTTAAACCACTCACCTTAGATCAAAGACCACTAAAATATATTTTTTCACAATAAAATCCTAAGACAAGCACTGATCCAGTTGATGGTCACGGAAGCAATATGGCGTCAACCAATGATATTATTCCCATATCCCGTAATAGATGGCTCTTAATGGTTCGTTTTTAAAATGAAGGTGGCCACTTTACCTGCCTGGGTCACTTTACCCGACCTTCCCCTAATTCCCGTGCTGGGCCAGTGGCGGGGCCGGCGACATTTGTAGAACAAAAGTGTTGCCATCGATCAATACTTTATGCTAAATCAGCATTTCTGAAAACCGATACAAACTAATGTCTAGGTAATTAATTACAACAGCAATCAACGTTACTTCAACAACTTGATTCAGTCATCTCTCATCTCGTCCAGACTTGCAAGAGAAAATGAAAATTTTCAGATCCGTCTCTGCCCTCATGCCTCCGGTTCTCGGTTTTACAGCCGTTTTATGACTATCGGCAAAAAATGTATACATGTATACAATATCGTTGTCGTCTACTAAGCAACGTATTAAAATTCTCATTTATTTAAAAAAAACATTGGATGCCAACCCTAACACACAAGTGATGAGTATGCAAGGCTCACCTAGTTTGCTCCACAGATATCCTGTTTCCCTCAGAGTAGTTGGAAGTAGACCTAATTTCCAGTATCGCAATTGAAACGCATTATGTAATATCCCAAAATAATTATAAAATGAGCACTTCAGTAAAAAATGAGTCAAAATGAGTAGCAAAAAAATAGTGAAGAACGTTCGCCTTAAAACTTGCGCTCCACAGGCGTACTACGCAGCGTCAACTACTACAAAAGGCGTGACAGCCTCTTACAGGTTGTGCTAGGCTCTCAAGGTCGTAGGAATTCGTCGGAAGGATTCAGCATAACTTCTATTGATTTGCGTTAAATTTGCAGCGTTTTTGAAATGTTTTTATTTTATGTTTCAGCTCGTCGCAGCGTTATTTGCTTGTTACGTGAAGAAGACTAGATACTGAGCATGTTTGCAACAACAAATGTGAATTTGTTAGTGTTTAGTTTATTATATATTTATTTTTGTATTAGGCCAAGTATTATTACAAAATTCATGTACAACCACACTTTTATTTATTTGTTAAATTAGTGTGACTCTTATTGTAAATACAGTTTTAATATCTATGAAATTTGTATGATTTCTTATATACTTTTTGAATAAAAAAAATGTTGCATCAGATTGGGATTTTTTGATGGCAATATTTGAAATCCCGTGCCGAATTACTCCAATATACTTCTGAAAATTCAAAAATGCCTCCATATCAATTTTGATCTAAGCTTTTTTGGGTAGGTCTACCACGGATTTATAGTCAACGCCAAACAAAGTGGCGTGCACGTCATCAAGGTGGGTGTGTTGAAAAATTTACATTGTTGCCAAACTTTTTGTAAAATAATAAAATTTATTATTTACATATCTAGGTTTATAAGCAATATTAACCTCAAATGAGAACAAAAATAATAATATAATAAAATTATAGATCTGTACTTGCATAATCATTAAGTATGACAATTATTGATCAGATGACACTATGAAACTACCATATTTGATAGCTTAAAGGTACTGAATAAAAATCCAAATGGGGTCCTCCAAATTTTATGCATGGTATTTATTTTACAGAATTCATACAGAAAAATGCATTCTAAAATTAGGTAAGCTACTGGTGTAAGCTTTTTCTGTACAATAAAGTTAGTCGGAGTTTCTTTCTTCAGCGCTGTCTGAATCTGTATCTTCATCACTCTCAAAGTTGATTATTAAAGGTTCGATGTCTGGTCGATCAAAAATTCGTTCTCTTTCATACCATTTAAAAATTTCTTGCTCAGTATGTCGAACACTATTTTTCCACATGTCTGGGGTAACCGTTTGTAGAGCCTCGTTCCACATATCCAAACAGTCTTTTTCACTGTTACCATCTCTACCAATATGTCTGTTATAGTAACCTTTTGCTATGCCCCAAATTAACTCAATAGGGTTAAATATACAATGGTAAGGAGGCAGACGAAGAACTTTGTGCCCATGTTGTTCCGCCAATTCATCAATCACGTATATTTTAGGTGGTTTGTTTCTAAAAAATCAGTTATTTTAAGAATAGGAATAAACAAAAGAAATATAAACTGTCGACCAAAATACTTGTATATATAATTAAGAAGCATTATGTACCGAGCAACAATACTCAATAGCTCTGTTTTAAACATTGTGTTTAAAAATGGTATGTTTTGATTTGTCAACCAGTCTTGGATATTTTTTTTTGTCCATGCATTGTTGGGCACTTTGTTCAATATCATGCTGTGATAAGGGGCGTTATCCAGTATAATCATAGATGGACTCTCCAATTTTTCTAATAACTGATGTTGAAACCATTTCAAAAAATTGTCCTGGTTCATCTCTCCATGGTAATCGCTCAATTTTGTTTTCGAAGAAAATATCGCTTCACTACCCTCAATAAACCCATTTTCATTTCCAGCATGTAATATAATGTATCTAAAATATATTAGTTTTAAATTTTATAGTGCAAATTGTGTAAAAGTACATACTTTTTACCATCTGTTTTAATAGCTTTCACGCTTTTTTTGTTTCCATTTTGCCAAGAGCGACCTATGGTCCCATTTTGAAATATCCAAGTTTCATCGAGGAAGACAAACTGGTATAAGGCCTCAACCTTGGCTTGATTGTATTGCCTTAGAAATTCCACCCTTTTCAAAGCTATACTTGGTAGTTCCATGAGCCCTCGTCGCGGATTGTCCTTAAGCCACTTAAATCCAAGATCTCTAAGCAACCGCCTTAAAGACGTGGCACTACCATCAAATAATGCATTATCTCTTAATCGAGACCATAAAGTTTGTATCGTAACTTGTTCTTCTGAAACCATGTGTAATATGACATTATAATTTAGTTAACAAATTAATGCAAATTTCTGATAAGTTATTATAATAAGATCTTACTTTTGTGATACATATTATAGATCACTTCTCGAATGGCACTTGTATCCAATGTCGCTGTGTTGGTTACACGTTTAATATAACTCCGCTTTTTCTTGGGCGATTCTAAATTTGCATCACTTTTCACACCCTCGGAAATACGACTAACTGTCCTTAAACTAATTTTTAAAGCAGCAGCAACACGCTACAAAAAATGAAATAAAATTTCACTATTATTAATATACATTACATATAATTATTAGTAACCTACCTCTTGAACAGCATTTAAAGGCAACAAAGGCCCGTTGTTGTCCCTTTCTTGCTCAAAGTAGTGCATTAACGAGGCCACGAGTTCCGTACACCGACTATTTAACTGTTTGGGCATCTTTATATACCAAAAATGCCTTTATCTACTCGTAAAATGAATAATTTTGTTTTGAAACAAACAGTTGTTGATTTACAGTATGCGGGGCCAAAGGATTTATAAAGATTTGAAATGCCACAAATTGATTCAGTGTCAAAATTAATACAAATGTCAGTTCCCAGTTTAAATAAGTTTCAAGGTGACAATGTGTCAACGCTGCGAAATCGGTTTAGTGCGTTTACATGTCGATAAGTGATTGGAGCGTTTGCAAAACATTTTATTTCGCATAATGCGTCTAAATTTATCAGAAAGCAACTTATGTGATATTTTAATAACAATGTTTATATGAGTATTAACCATAATAAGAGAGTAATGACCATTTTACAATTTATATATCACATTAATATGAAACTGCAATAGAGCAATTGTTTGTGATAGAAACCTAGGCATTAGGTCGGGGAATTTTTATCGTGATGACGTGCACGCCACTTTGTTTGGCGTTGACTATAGATCCGTTTCATTGTGATCTACGAGACACGACGGTTTATCGATACTTTATATTTTGGAGGCTAAACTCAAAATCTGCGCTCTAAAGACTATCCAAGTGTACAAACGTCCGTATGATTTCAGGTACGGGAGACGAAAATTGAACTTTTGCATTGCGAATCTTTTTTAGGTTTCTTAGGGAAAATTTTTTAAAAAACTTTCCATATTTGCAATTTCGACCAAAGGTAGATTCTTCTTACTTCGTTAAATAGGGCGTCCTAAATGGTCGCAGTGTATTTGGTGGTAGGCATAGGGGACAAAATTAGAAATTTGAAATTCTTGCATATCTTATAAAATAGATAGATAGATTCAGGATAGGTATTTCCATGAGACTCAATACAATAGAGTATAACAGTGTAGGAATATAGTCAAATAGAAAATATCTATAAAACAAATCTAGAGCACTGACGACAAACATCCAATAAACTTAAAATTGAAATCCATATGCTCTAACATAGCATAGAAAGGGTTGTCTAAAATAATTTTCTTAACCTTGTTACTGATGATGTATACTTGGTCTCTGTTTGAAGTTTGTTATAGAAGGTGTCCGATTTTAATCTTAGAAACTAAAACATCTTGAAAACTCATTCAAGAAAAAAACTTTGAAACAAAAGTTGTAGGGCTTCAAATACGCCAAATGATGGTGGTTTTAACCATGACATTCACCACGACCTTCATGATCATTCCGAGGTCAAGCGAATATTTTCAAATGAACTCCCATTTTTACACCGGAATTGGAAGGAAGAGGTAATTCTACGTCCGAATATGACCTTGACATGACCATAACAATAATCTTCAAGGCCATTTCAATCTCTGGTAAAGGAAGTAGACAGCATTGTCAATTTGACAAAAATTGTTGTGACCCTATCTGATCATTTATATTGACTATTTCCATCGTCTTAATTTCTACTAATCACAAACGCGCAATTTTGAACTACAAATGGTTTCTAGATGAAAAGATTGTATAACAGCACCTGTCAGCATTTTTTTCGACTTGACAGCTGTTATCATCAAAAGTTACAATACCTTTGATAGCAAGTAATTATGGTCTCCTAGAACATCAGAAAACGACGCTAAATAATTTTTCTGATTTCATTGTCGATAAATTTTGTAACATTGCTTCAAGTTTAATCACTCTGGTAAGAAATGTAATAGTCATAAAGTATGCTTCAACTGTGGAGAAGAACATGATGATACTTCATGCAACAAATCTACTAATCCCATTTGTTGCAACTGTGTGTATTCAAACAAAAAATATACTAAAAACTGTAATACACATCACTCCCCTACAGATAAATGTTGTGCTGTATTTAAATTTTTCCATCAAAGACATATATCAAGAATTTTATTCTAAATTGCTAAGGACTTAGAATATTTATGAGTAGATACATTACAGAATTTGGACCTGAAATAATTAAAACAAATATTTTAGACGATTTACCTACAACAAAGTTACGTTTTTCTAATAATATTGATTCAGGATTGAACATCTTTCACACGAACATAAGGAGCATTCATAGAAATATGAATGAACTCCATGCCTTGTTGGATATACTAGATTTTAAATTTGATGTTATAGTGCTAACTGAAACATTTAAAGTATATGATACAAGTTTGATCGGAATTCCCAATTATGATTTATATTATAACGATGGTAGTTTTAATAAAAATGACGGGGTTCTGATTTACGTAAGACAAAATTTGAACAGTGGGTATGAAATTATTAATATAACTCAAACAAAACTTTTACGAGTTATTCTTCAAAAGAATAATAAATGGATACAGATCATAGGTGTGTACAAATCACCCTGTATATCTGTAACAACATTTAACGGTCAATTATAAGATTATCTAGAAAGTAGTAGAAAATTTGACATCAACTTATTCATTGGAGACCTTAACATTAACATATTAGATCATAACAATCAAAATATTCAAGATTATTTAAACATAATGGCTGAACATGGTTACCTGTCAGCCATTAACGAAATGACAAGAGTAGAAGGAAACAGTGGGAGTTGTATAGATCATATGTTTATAAATTCACGTTTAGAACTTGACAAAATATATTCAGCAATTCTAAAATACAAAATTTCTGATCATTTTCCTACTTTGCTCAAAATCGATCTTGAAAGTACATCAACCAAAATTGAAAAGACAGTGAATAATACAAAAATTTACATTGATTATGAAACACTAAATAACAACTTACGCAATGAAAATTGGATTGTATATAACGAACCTAATATTGAAATGCATTTGTCTTTTTTATATCTAGCATTGAAGGCCATATTGCTGAATGCACCAAAACAGTAAAGATTCCACGAACACAAATAAAAAGACAAGCATGGATATCAAAAGGGATTATTACCTCCATCAACAAAAAAATAGAATTATATAAGGAAACCAAAAAAGACTGACAAAAATAATTAAAGAGGCTAAAATTAAATATCTCCAAGACGAGTTTGATAATCTACAAAATTGTTCGTCCAAAATGTGTCAATTTATCAATAAAATACAAGGCAAAAAACAAAATAACAAAATTAGTACAATTAAAAAAGAAAATGGTGAACTAGTGAGTAATGATGTAGATATAGCAAATGAATTTTGTAAATATTTTTCAAAAATCGGGAAAAGGTTGTCAGAAAGCATAAAAAACGCGGAGAAATTAAATTATAGTAAGACCAGATTATACGAGTATAACTCATTATATCTGGAACCGACTAATACGCATGAAATAAAGACAATAATCAATGATAAAATATTTGAAAAAGTGTTAAAAAAACGATTCACCGAATTTGCAAAAAAATATAACTTAATAGCGGAAGAGCAATATGGTTTTCAAGAAGGCAAATCTGCTCAAGATGCTATTGTAAAATTAACAAATAAAATATACACGAATCTCGATATTGGCAAACCAACTGCTTGAGTTTTTGTTGACTTGGCAAAGGCATTCGACTCTATTACTCATGAATCGCTTGTAACAACCTCAGAAAACTTAGGTTTCCGGGGAATAACATACAAACTTATAGAAAATTATTTGTCAAATCGAACACAATGCGTAAAAATTAATAACACATTCAGTGAACCCCATATTATATCATACGGTGTACCTCAAGGCTCAGTATTAGGACCCATTTTATTTAATCTATTTATCAACGATTTGTTCAAAATAAATAGTACAGGTAAAGTTATCGGTTTTGCGGATGATACAGCTATTCTCTATGAAAGCAACCAGTGGCATACACTAAAAACCACAATCGAACATGATTTCAAAACATTTATAAATTTCTTTTCGGAAAGAACTTTGACAATTAATTACAACAAAACACACTATATAGCATTTTCTTGTAACGACAGGCTCTCACCACAATTTAAAAAACTTGAAATTCATACAAGCAGTGGTCTCAAAGAGATTCAGTCAGCCGATAAAATAAAATACTTAGGCGTGATTTTGGACAAACACTTAAAATGGGATACCCATACAGAGTACCTTGTGAAGAGACTGAGATGTATTATTCCAAAATTCAGGTACTTCAGAGATATTCTAGATAAGAAATATCTATATAATCTATATTATGCTGTTGTTTATCCTCTATTACTTTACGGAATTTTGGCTTGGGGGGGAGTTATGAATAATAATTACAAAATGGTTGAGGTAATCCAAAAGTTAATTCTAAAATTGATCCTCCATAGGGAGATTACTTATTCAAGTGATTTTCTATATGCGGAGGCTCAGCTATTAGATTGCAGACAAATTTATTTTTATTGTGGTCTAATACATTATTTCAAATATTCAAAATACTTTAATCGTACCATTCATAACTACCCAACAAGATTCAATCAAAATTCAATGTGTATTCCACAAACATCAAAAACCATTACACAACGATCTCTGTTTTTCTTGGGACCAAAATTCTATAACTTCATACCAGAGTCATTAAAAGTAATTAAATCAAATAAGTCATTTAAAAAACAACTAAAAAAATGGATTTTACAACAACCAAGGTACTCCATCCATGAAATTGTAGATCTGAAAAATCATTATCAAAATCAATAATATTTTACTTACACTAACATCCATACTTTTACTTCGGTTCTAATTGTCTGGATATTTAACCTGACATTATCATAATAATTCACCAAATTATACAGTATTAACGGGTTTTTTCTTTTTTTTTCCATACACTGACTGTACTATTAGTTTTTATATTGTACAAACCCAAACACAAGTGCAAACTTTTTTTGGGTGATTTATGTTTATTGTGCACAATATTTGATATTTACTTGTATTTTGTGACAATAAACATTATTATTATTATTATTAATAATATGTTACTCATGAAATAATCTTGTCAAATATCATTCGGGCATCTATTTTTTCCCGTGAAAACGCAATGCAAAGCAATATTTTTTTAACAAAAAACATTCGTGCAGGTGCAACCAGCATTCATGCTTCTTGTTAAAATATTACTTAGTAACGTGTTCAGAGGCAAAAATTAGATGTCCTTATGATATTCCTTATGAATAAACTACATTGCCCGCCGGATCGTCGTTCCTCTACAAATCAAAACCTTCCAATTTTTACCCGTAATGTTTTTTAAACGGTCAAACGGACCGATTTTCAAAAGCTTCTTCGTCCTTGGCGTAGTAGTAACCTCGCGTAGGAATTTCATCAAAATCATAGTACTTTTCAAGCCATAGACAGGCCAATGACTAGCGGACAGATCGACAGATAGATCAACGGAAATGAGTGACATGGTTTTTCGTAATATGCATGTCATATAATATCCAAAAAAGAAGAGTCTCATCTTCGAATAAGCCAGCAGGCGTGGGAAGTAAAAGGAGTCATCACGATTCCTGAACACAATGCTTTTCTTCTCAAGGGGATATTTGGCACACCCAATCGGATCTTAAACAAGTGAGACGCTTTAGTCTGAAAGTGGAGTGCAAAGATAACGTTATATATCTACAATGATGACAAATATTTTTATCTACTCATAGCGTTATCATCTTATCTCCCTGTCATTTGTAGGTGATGCTATTTGCGCACTAAGGTGAAACTTGCACAAGAAGCAAGAATGGTTTGCGGTGAAGCTATAATCAAGCTAATTGTTTTTAGTGTTAATACTGTGTTTTCGGTAAGTATTCTACATACTATCTAACGCAAATTGAATTTTGTTCGAGAAATGCATGCCTAAGATACTATATTTAGTAGCTTACTATTTTTTTAACGACGGCTTTATAAGCTCATTCATTGGATCTAAATAATATTAACGTAAGTTTTTATACTCATATCAGATGATAACAAATTGCGCTAGATACACAAGTACAACAATTAACATGATATGCGCCAGTGCCTAACAATTCACGAATAATAAGAACGTTACCATTTGTTCTTACAGGACATTTTGATTTCGTTTCAAATAATCGAAAATTTTGCACTGGAGATATCAGATTTATGACATTTTGTTTTTAAAAAATGTACTGGTCGTAGATGCGCGTTAAGCTTAGCTTATTTAAGCAGAAGTAGTTCAATAGTAGTAGTAGTGCTAGTAATTAAATATACCTTAGATTTATGACAAAGAAAATAAAGCATCTACTAAAAATTATTTTATTTGATCGGAATATTGTTTAGAGTTAGACATGAGAAAGAGGAAGTAGCTGAATTTGAAGTAAAAACGATTTGCTTTGTCACTGGATTTCCCAAAAAATTATATTGCGTCACTGAAGACATAAAACGGCATGCTCAGACAACGGGTACGATGTATGTGACCCGACCCAATATAACCAAAATCTTGCGACATCTTAAACGTCTTTACTTCAAAATTTGATCACGACCTCATCTTGCTTTACTATTTTCTCTGTCACTGACTTGTAATGTCACGTATTCCTGTTAAGGGGTGATAGATTTTTGAGTTATTTAAATTTTAAGTTTTTTATTTTTTATTTGGATTTTAGACGATTAAAATTTAAATACAAAAAAACTGCATGCTTGATTTTGAGTTTTTTGTTATCGTCGCATAGCAGACATTCCAATAGTTCATAATAAGTAATAACATCTTGAAAATCTACAAACGTTTTGAAATTACGCTTTTTAAATGTATCATTTTCTTTTTTTTACTAACTTATTCGATAAAAAATGCAATTTTCTGTAAAAAATCTCCTAGTGATGAAATGTCCAAATTATGTAAATAATATCTCTATCTAACAAGCTTTCATTTTAGGCATTAAGTGTTCAATTATCTGAAGTACATGCAGAGAAACAACAATGACACCCAAAGAGGCTGGATTTTTAAGGAATTTGTATTACCTGTTTGAACAAGTCGTTACTGTCCTCAAAGGACCCGCATGCCATGATTGTTTTATGGCATCGGCTCGACGAGGAAGCGAGCGCGAAGAGCTGACTTAGTGGAGGAGTGAGAGAGAGAGAGCTGTTATTTATTCATCATTGTAGTTAGGCCATCGCCGCACGCCGAGTGAGAATTAGGTTTAGTTGGTATCAACTACTGCGTACGCGCAGACGTTTTACGCACGATTATTATTTTCGAGTTTCCCAGTTCATTTCGAGTTGTTTCTTTATCATCATGGCAGACGCAGAAGATCCGCCAGGACCTCGCCATAGCGATCACGGGCAAACTTTTACAAATGAAGAATACGCAGACATAATGTTCTGTTATGGACTTTGTAACGGCGATTCTGCAGCTGCCCGCCGTGAATAAGGGCAACGTTTCCCGAATCGCCGAAAACCTCATGTTACTGTGTTTGACTCTGTGTATCGGCGCATCCGCCAAACCGGACGTGTTCAAAGGCAACATAGTGATGCTGGTCGACCCCGAGTCTATCCTCCTGAAGATGAAGAGGAAATCCTTCGTGTGTTTCAGGAAGACCATACTACGTCTACGCGCATTGTGGCTGCTCAGTTCGGTATATCACAATACAAAGTATGGTTTACTGTGCATACTGCAAGATTATACCCTTATCACTACACGCCTGTGCATGTGATTGAAGAGGGCGATCCTGCAAGACGATTAGATTTCTGCAGGTACATGTTACATGCAGATACAGAAGATCCAGACTATTTTAAGAAAATTCTGTGGACCGATGAATCGAAGTTTGACAAGGACGGGATCACTAACTACCATAATGCTCATTACTGGGCTGATAAAGAAGCTTTAAACCCCCGAAAAATAAGAGCGACGGGGTCTCAGAGCCGGTTTTCAGTCAATGTGTGGATGGGCATCATTGATGGATGTTTAATTGGACCTCATTTTCTGCCCGCCAATTTAAATGGAGAAGTGTATGAAGAGTTGAAAAATCACGTGTTTTCATTAATGGAAGACGTCCCATTGGCGACGAGACAATATATGCGGTTCCAGCACGACGGCTGTCCCGCACACTACAGTAGATTAGTACGGGCGTATTTAGACTCTAAATTTCCAAATCAATGGATTGGCAGAGGCGGGCCCATTGCCTGGCCAGCAAGAAGCCCAGATCTCACACCGATGGATTACTATGTGTGATGACATATGAAAAGCCTGGTGTACAAAGTTTCGCCCGTACCAACGCGCGATGAATTAATGACAAGGATAATCAGTGCAGCTGACGAAATAAAAAGTCGCTTAACAACTAGAGTTACCAAAAGTGAATTACGTAAGAGAATACGGGCGTGTATTCGTAACAGGGGATTACAATTTAAGCAGAATCTGTAAAATACTAAAGGAAATGTAATTAAATAAAACTGTAATTAAAATAAAAGCCTTTTATTTATCCTACGTAATTATCGTTCGTACAACTTTACTCATCTTTTATTAATTTTATGTCTTTGTACTTGAGTTAGTTGTAACTTTTATACTTCAAATGAAAGCTTGCTAGATAGAGATATTATTTGCACATATCATTACTAGGAGTTTTTTACAGAAAATTGCTTTTTTTGTCGAATAAGTCAGTAAAAAGATAAGAAAAAAGCGTAATTTTAAAACTTTTGTAAGTTTTCAACATTTTATTACTTATTATGAACTATTGGAGTGTCCGCTATGCGACAATAACAAAAAAATCAAAATCAAACATGTAGTATTGTATTTCAAATTTAACCGTCTGAATTCGGAATAAAAAATAAAAAAAAATAAAATTCATATAACTCAAAAACGGTTAACTTCTGGATAGGACATTATAGGACAAAATCGGTTGCTTTTGACCTAATATATCACCCCTTAACAGGAATACGTGGCATTAAAAGTCACCCTGTATTTCAAAGCCTAAATAATCCCTACGATTTTACAGTAACGTTTTAATGCGCCGCAACTTCCATTCGGCAGTTTCTCAAACTTATCCAATTATTGAACATATCCTTATCATTGTTACTGAAGATCGTTGAATGAAATTCATTGTTTTTCTTTCAGTTAGCAGGCTTAGGAATATTGGCGACTGGAGTTCTGTACAAGTTAAACTTCAACAATGTCACAGATGCAATACCTTCCGACTATCAGGACATTGGTTTTGCTCCTGTCCTCTCCATTATTATTGGTTCCATTATTTTCGTTATAGCGTTCATGGGATGTTTTGGAACTGTTCGAGAAAGTACATGTCTACTGAACTGGGTTTGTATACACTCATTTGCGATAAATTTCCAACATGAGTCCGGAAATTCCCCAATTTCATGATATAGGGCGTTCAAAATTTATGTGTCTATGTTTTTGGAAAGGTAAGGCCCGGTTTTGCTATTGTTTGTAAGGTTTATTATTCTTCCCGACACATACAATGTATATAACTTGTCAGACTGGATATAAAATTTAAAATATAAGAAACAAACACAAACAAAAATAATCCACAAACAACTGATCCTTATAAATATGGCGTAGTAACACTTTTTTTCATAAGGAACTGCTTAAGTGTTATTTTTAAAAAGCTCATATCCTTGGCATTTCTTATGTCTGCTGGCAAACTGTTACACATTTCTGGTCCTAAATACCTTGGAGACTTCCTGGATACATTTCGCAAAAGGTACATACAATTGGTTACATTGTCTTGTATTTAGTGCATGAGCATCTTTATTTTTTAAATAGTCAACGCAGTCAATTCATATACAATATATAAACCAGACAAAGAAAGTATTCTATATCTTTTACAGATTTCCATACAACTATGCATACTATTTACTTTAGCAATGCTTCTGATCACTCTTTTCTGGCATATAAATACATCGTAACATTGCACGTGATGTACCCCAGAAGCAAAGGCCTTACTTCAATCTGGATTCCACCTGTGCATAGTATAGACTGATAAGTAGATCTTCATTTCGAACTGTTCGTAAATTTTTATACTCGTAAATGTATTAATGTGAATTTAGAACTGACAGCATATACTTGCAATGTGCTTTGAAATTCAAATATTCATTTAAATATATGCCCATGTCGTTATGGAACTTGATCTAATTGTCATTTAACCTGATATTCATGTCATCTAACTTCTTCTGTATATTGTGAATTCTTACAAGACTGTGTTTAATATAAACTTGATTTCTTACAAACCATTCTTCATCAAATTTAATGACAAATACCTTATCACGAGGATCTGAAATTGTGATTGAGGCATCATCTGCATACAATGTAAAACTCACTTGCCCTTGAACAATCATTTATATATAGTATAAAGAAAAGAGGCCCTAATATATATCCTCGGGGAACTCCCATATCAATATCAACGCATGAAGACCGGACTTGCTTTATTTCTGTACCATAATTGTGTAATAAGGAAACATAAAAGATTTGATCCATAGGCGAGACCTGCCAGTCATGTTTTAGCTACCAAAACCTATTTATTGATTTGTCCCGAAGACCAAATTATAATCAATTAAAAAGAAAGCTTTGTGATACCGTCGCAAATTTGACGAGTCAAAAAGAAGGATCTGCAGCCTGCCCAAAACATGGATTAAACCTAATACAACAGATTGGTGTGACAGGCACTACTGATTTTAATAAGCATAACAGCGTCACCACTTACCTAAGAGAGATAATTTAAATAAATTATAATATACAGGGTGTCCGCAAAGTTGGGGTTTTCCTTTTCAGAAACAACTACCCTTGATATAACAAAGGTAATGTGTAGTGAAACGAGGGCGACCAAGTAAAAAAAATAAAGGAAAAAGTACTCACTCTCCAGTTGACGAGAAGGGCTAAGTACGTCTCTGCCAGAAATCATACCGCTCCAACAGAAAATGAAATCAGCTGATGCGCTACCGAGCAGACGCAGAAACCACATTGATTGTCTTACACTCAATGGCACATCTTCTAACAAGGAAGGCAAAATGTTGCGTAAAAAGTTAAGGTATTGCATCCCGTCCAATCGATTTGGGAGAATAAATGGTCCAATGAGCATACCGTTCACCATGCCAGCTCAAACATTCACCGAAAATGTTTGTTGAAAATGTGCCCGACGGACAGCGTGCGGATTTTCTACTGACCAAACATGAGTGTTGCGAAAGTTATTCACCCCATTACGCGTGAACGTAGATTCGTCTGTCACCAATATGCACTTCAAAAAGTCCGGATTATTGTCGTGTTGATGCAACAACTACTCACAAAACCGCACTCTTGCTGGAAAATCGTCAGGTTGAAGGGCTTGTACACGTTGGACGTGAAACGGATACAGCCCCTCTTCACGCAGCGTTTGCCACACTTTAGTTTTTGATACTTGCACTTCTCTAGCCTCGTCTCTAGGGCTTGTTGAGGGATTCTCGTCTACGCGATTACCTCTACACGCGTGACCGTAACCGTCGGTTGAAGGTTGCATACTGACCTGACACACTGACCCCGACCAGTTCTGTCGTCGGGTTGAGCCAGTGACCTTGTACCAGTCGGTGATGTCGCGGCTACAGGACGGTATTCAGATATTTTTGATGTTGCAGAGCCCTTTATCTTGGTTCCCTTAAGACATTGGTGTATATGGTACTAAGAAAAATTGCTTATGTTTTCAAGATCTACACGTCGTGTAAAGGAAAACCCCAACTTTACGGACACCCTGTTTATTTTTTAACAATCCATCAATATGTCCATGAGGTTAGCAACAAAAATCTATTTTTTCTCTTTATAGGTTACTAATAGGTTAGTCAAATTAGATCATCGATTTTTGTTATTACTGTGCAAAATTCGTTGAACAATAGTTATTATTCAACAAACGCGAAAAAAACTGTTTCTTTCCTTCTTTTATGGTCCATACGTTTAGCTACCTTTCCTAGCTTAACAACCTCGCGGCGCCCTCTACTGGAGGGTAGAACTGCTTAATTTCGAAAACGTTGCGTTCTAACCAAAAAGTCCAAGATGCAGTTTTCAATTCAACCAATCTGATTTTGAGATACTGGTGCTAATTTTCAGCAAAAGCCAGTGACGCACTTTGTTTTAAACATAGAGACTTGCCGCCACGAACTATGATGTACGTGCTTTAGAAACAACGTTTTATAGATGCTAATATCACAGTTCGTAATACATTTGCGGGTACTAAGACTTGTATCGATCTCAGCCTGTTTTCGAAAAAATCTCTATGCTTTTTTAATTTTTTCAGAATTCCCTGACGGCATTCAGTAACACCTTTTATTTTATTTTAGTATTCTATAATATTACTGGTGATCTTCCTGTGCCAAATCGCCATTGGAGTCTTTGCGTTTCTCGAAATACGAAATGAAGACAGCTTCAAATCTGCTGTGAAAGGACAACTGTTACTATCGTTCAACGGCTATAACGAAAATGAAGCAAATAAGGAAATCGTGGATTTTGTACAAGAAAAGGTAAGGAGAGTCTAAGAAGTATCCCGTTCCCAGCACAAGAATGCAAGGAGGGAAACGTCAAAGGGTGCTGTAGAAACCGGTAGTGGTGTCGACATAGACAGAAATTCAAGCCCCTTGAGGGAACAAGGGAATAGCGGCGTCGGTAGGATTGAATATGACTCTAGCAGTTGGTTGAGAGCTGGTGCTGTAGACTAATTGGTTTGATCGGCTACACGAAATGGAGGAGATGCGGGTTCGAATAATAGTAATAATAATTTATTTTTCCTGTGGATCACAAGGTGATATAGCATAAGTCGCAATAGAATATTTGTATGAAAAGAATTGCACACATATATAATATTCAAATGTCGAAAACACGATGTATATAATGGATTAAAATGACAATAAATTAACAATTTGAAATTAAACAATGGATTAAATAAATTAAAAAAGACTATTACACATTAAAAGTTCTTCTATAGAGTAGAAAACTTTTTCCTGTCAATTTTGCCTGATACTTTTCTTAAATAATGTCAGCGGTAGTGATTTTAGATAAACGGGTAATCTGTTGAAGAGTTTGATTGCCATGCATTTAGGACTCTCATCCGTACTAGACAACCTATGTGACGGCACATTGCTTTGTTTCTTGTAGTGTAAATTCCAGAATTTATCACATTAAAAATGTCCAGGTGTCTTTTGACGTAATGTATCTTGAACGCAGAGTATAAGAAGACTGTGCATATTAGAGTAGTTAAATCTAAGGAACACTGTTTTTTATTGTTTAAGATCAGGCCGTGATGACTGGACCATTGCTCTGCTCCGGCTAAGCTTCTGATGGCATTTATTACCACAGCACCTATTTCTTCTTCCTCTCAAGTTGTTGTTTACTGTCTAAAAACCAACCAAGAAAAAGTGAAACGTTGAGGTACATGGTCTGCACGAACGCCGATGACTATCCTATTTTAACACCGTCTGCTTTTGTTTTTATGCAGCTTGAACTGGTTTTTACCCAAAAAGCCTTGAATCTTTTTGGAAACTATCTAGAACATCAGAGCTGTTTGGATCCCCACGCACGCTTAAATGTTTTCTGAGAAAAAAAAATTAATGTGAAATGTTAACAACTGGCAAACTAGCTTGGTTGGACAAACATGTAGTAGGTACTCTACGAATGCGTTGATGCTCCATCACAGATTCAGGTACCGTTTCCCCTCTAATGTTCTCAAAGCGTTTTCTTGTATTTTCAGCCTTTTCGTGACTTTATAATACCTCAATAGCTTATTAATCAACATAAAAAATTATTCTTTAATTAGTATTGTAGACGAATACCTTCAATAATTATATTTCAAACTAAAGCTCAAGAGCTATATTCCATGCATATATACGGATTTCACTAAAGCTTTTGATAAAATTTATCATCGCGTTTTGGTTGACAAATTAATAGATTTTGGATTTTATGATGATGCTGTGAAAAGTTCATATCATTCTTAACAGATAGGAAACAATTTGTTTCGTATTATGGACTTAGACCGGAAGCCACATCTGGAGTTCCGCAGGGATCAGACTTGGAACCGCTACTTTTTCTAATCTTTATAAATGATTTACTGAATGCTTTGACAATATCTAACGTCACTGATTTATTGGAACTTCAGAGCCAGCTTGAGCTGATTCAGAACTGGTGTAACGATAATAAATTAATACTCAATGTAGATAAGTGTGAGGTAGTGAGTTTGACAAGAAAGAGAGGATCTATAAATTTTAGATATAATATCGATGGAAAGAACCTGATTAGGTGTACAGGTTAGGGAGGTTAGGGATTCAGATGTTATTTTCTTAACATATTGAGAAAACTGTATCTGAAGCATTAATAGCTTTTGATAAGGAATTGTAGAATTTTTGACAATATCAGCACAATTAACTTCACTTACACTAGATCGAAACTTGAATATGGAATCCATATTATGAGGTGTAAAGAATTTGTGTTGAACGAGCTCAGCGAAAATTTCTTAAATTTCTGGCCTTTAAGGTTGACCACATTTATTCTGAAAGGGGAACCAATAATTATAAACTATGTGGTAGATTTTTCTATACCCTGTACACTGAGTGAGTTTATCAGAACAGCAAAGAGGTTATGGATCTAATTTTGAATTCTTTTTTTTTGTTTAATCATCTGCATCTCAGTTTAGGGTACTAGTGTAATATATTATAATCATTCCCTTAGTTATTACACTATATTGTTTTATCGGCGCATAATAACATACAAGAGCATGTAATTTAATTGTTATATTAGGAAACCGCTGGATAATAAAGCCATTATTATCATTACTATTATTATTACAATAACGTCTGACATCTCTGTTTCTCGCCTGCATTCCCCTTTCTTGCAATCTCTTACTGGGTAGATAATATTCGACGATCCTATGCAACTTTATATTTTTTGTTACGACCTAGTGCTGCAGAAGGTCTAACGATACAAATACTATGATCAAAGAGTTTGATGGGCACATTTTGCAGTTTTATATCCGAAATCAAAAATCAACAATTAAGTTCTTCTTTGTTTTTAAAATCAATTATCGCTGCACTGCATCGGCATTGAATTTCTTTAATTATAGTTCAGATGTTGTGGAGTTGAAGGTCCTGCCTATTGGACTAACAAATCTGCAGAGGTCCCTAAAAGCTGCTACAGCGATATGATCAAAATAACTGACCTGCACACAGACGGATGTTTGAACAAGTTTGTGGAGTTCCTACATGGATCAGTTCGCACAATTGGGATTGTTGTTTTAACGTTATCAGCAATCGAGGTAAGTTTTCCGTCCATGGTAACAGTGTTAATATTTACGGTTAGAATTCGTAGTTCTCTTGGAGTATGTACCTATTCATCCATTGTAATTGACGGGTTCTCCTATTGATCCCATAATGTCGACGCGGGTGTTCCTCAGGGATCGGTTAGGCTCCGATCTAGCTTTCTTCTACCGCTTCATCATTGGGCTTTGCTCCTCATAGTGCTACTCAATGATGCCACCGTGCCATGTGCCTGCGAGACAAACCCGCCTCAGTTCGGTATCCCATCCTTCGTACATCTAGAACTGACCGATACAACCCCTGGTCCCTAGGGTACCGAGATTGTGGAGCAATCTACTTGGGTAGGATCTTCCCAGTTCTACTAACTATACTAAGTGACATAGATCGGAACACCCAGTTTAAATGGTTTTATTTTAATAAAATTTTGAATAAGTACTTAATGAAGCATAATAAGTAAATGATAAAAATTTCAAATTGATTGCACTGCTTTAAAGCCCTTTGACCTTTAATAATGTGTGGATGCACCCTGCTGTGCTACGCATTCTCCAACGCGCCTAGGCATGCTTCTGATCAGGTGGTCAATGTCCTCCTGTGGTATCTCATTCCAGGCAACCACCAACTCCTCTCCAAGTGCTTCTAGAGTGTGAGGAGGACGTTGCAAATTGAGCAATCTCCTACTCATCATAGCCCACACGTGCTCAATTGGGGATAAGTCGGGAGATCTTGGTGGCCATGGTAACAATGTGACATCATTATGTTGAAAGAAGTCTATTGTGACTCTTGCAACATGTGGTCGGGCATTATCTTGTTGGAAAGTTGGATCTGCCAGGGTGTCAAGATAGGGTAAAAGATGGGGTTCTAGAACTTCGTGGATATAACGGTGCGCGTTCATGTTACCTCTGATGAAGATTAAAGGTGACCTGGTACCATAAACTATAGCACCACAAACCATAACTCCAACAGTGTGATGAACATGTCTTTCAACAAAATACTGTGGATTCCTCCTTTCACCACGTCGCCTTCTAACCCTGGCACGACCATCGTGCATGCCTAAACAAAATCGAGGCTCGTCACTAAAGACAATACTGTTCCATTCCTGATCCCAGAGTGACCGTTGTCTGCGCCACTCAACGGCGATTACGTCGGTGTTCTCGAGTTAAAGGGAGGTCCCAGTGTGGCCGGTATGAAAACAAGCCAAAACTTCTCATTCGTCGGTAAACACTTCGCATGCTAATAGGTCTTCCGTGTTCTGCAAACCATTCATTTGCAATGGACCTGGTAGTGGACAAACGGTCCCTTAAGGCCAATAATCTTAGGCGGCGATCTTCACGGTCTGTTGTTCTACGGCGGCGTCCAGTGCCCCTTGCTCTTTGCGTACGGCCTTCTCGAAGCCATGCCTGACAACACCTAACCACAGTGTCTACACTTCTTTGCACTCTAACTGCAATTGCCCGAAAAGAAAGTCCAGATTCCCGAAGTCCCACTATACGGCCCCTATCAAACTCACTAAGTTGACGAAATCGTACAAGTCTCCGTACTCTAGGCATCGTAACCGATCGTAAAGGATGTCAAGAACCAAAATCCGCCAACGTTGATTCTTGACTGCGGCTGAAATATTCATTTTTAGAGCGTTAGTGAATTAAAAAAAAGCAGTATAAAAACCGGAATGTCCAACTGATAAGGCTGAAAATTTTTTCACTTGTGATTTACAGTAAGATAAATACATTCACCAACTTTTATTAAAATAAAACCATTTAAACTGGGTGTTCGGATTTATATGTCACTTAGTATATTTAGGCTTTGTTAGATATAAAACAGTCATCATGTATTCGAAAGGTAAGATGTTTAGGTCATACGCTCATATAAAGCTATCTCCTTGAACTGGACCCAAAAATCACCCCCTTAAATATTGACGTTCAATTAGGAATCACCCTGTACAGTAAAGAGCACATCTACACACCCTCGAATCACAGATCAGTACTGATCTATGCATCTGATTTACCAAGGAAACGAGTTCGCATCCAAATCACAGATTCAAAAAGAAACTTGGACATTTATGTTTTTGAATAATTAGAATCCTCGCCTAAATGGTACATTTCCGGACTGAATAAACAAGTCCTAGTTTGGACTTCAGTTGCTAAAAAAACTTGCCATAGACATGGTAATATTCCCGACTAACCCGTGTTTGATCTTTTTGTCAGTAAAATATACCGAATACAAAGCCGTACTGAACAGTGGCGTATACATGGCAGTGCCAGGGGGACCGCTCCCATTTCGGAACGGTACAAAATAATAATCACGTTCTAGCAAATTAATTTGCAAATTGGAGCCCAAAGATAGTGCAACCGCCTGATCTGTAGATTATTTATTTATCCTAAAATTTGCAAAGCAGTATGGGGCTTGAACGCTTTAGAACTGAAGGCTACCTACATTCGGTTTTAATAATGTTAGGGCTTGGAATGTAAGGTAACTAGGCCCAAAATGTTAAGTTCTCTAAGGGCCCAGAAGCACCGCGTCATTAAATAGCGGCATGAGGGATAAATTATGTATCGTGTCGTCAGAGATTTTGAGTCGGCCTCTAAAACTTTAATAGCCATTCCTAATGCTACGGAGAGATATGCATAAGTGTTTATTTTCTCACAGGCTGCAAAATATACGAAAAAATGGAAGAACAGGTCTTTCGCGATTCCTAGGAGGTACGCGTTATCTTTTGTCAACCATCTCGCAATATTTTCTGAATCACGTCGATTAAAAAATACTCCAAAATCTACGAACTACCGAAATGCATACTTATGCTATTCTCAAGCTTTTTAAGGAGTAAGCAACGTTTTCAAGGCCTACGAATTCGGAAGGCCTGATAAAATCCATAAAAGTTGCATTGATTCCACTCTAAAAGTTAAAAATATAAAAATGTAAATCCCATCACTCCGAAAAAAAAAGCTCGTGAAAAAACGGAATTGGCAAATGACGATTTAAATATTTTTTTTGTTTTGTTGACCATTCCCGATATCCCCCCTTCACAACGTCTGTGTACCCCACCCGAATTCAAGGCATATACGCCACCGGTACTGAATGCATATATGTCCTATTTATTATGTACATCCTATAAGTTAGTTAAAAATTGCAAGACTATGAGAACTGAGAGTACTTTAGTAACAGAAACTATTTTTAGGTTGTTGGAGCCATATTTTCGCTGTGTTTGTCGAGTAGCATAAGGAACAGGGAAAGGAGGTTTAGGTACTGAAGATAATACTGTATTCTACGGAACTTAAAAATCGCTGTAGTACGTACAGTATGAAGCATAATTATGTGTAATATGTATACATATAGCTAGATGTGAAACAAACATATTTTTATTTCAATCTAAGATGTGTAATATAAGTTAACTTAATTTTACCAAGATTAATGTTGGATCTTTTCCTAATTCTGAACATATTGTACCAGTGTAGGTTTGGCGATACTCTAGTAGATATTTTTTCCCTTCCACGCCTGATGACCGAGAAAATGATATTGTAATCGCGAAAAATTTTTAAACAACACAAACACAAACTCTTTATTGTGCGGACCTTCTTAAGTACGGAACTAATATAGTTGTGACGGTAGCAGACTTTTCTTACTTCCATACGAGTCCTGTACCTTTTGGGTTGTATAATCGATTCTACCAATTTGTAACGGAAAGTCGGACAGATCGAACTGTGTTTAACAATCGCTCGTACATCCTGTGTAATATCACGCCGATAGTTCACACCATTTATGTCGACTTCCTATGAAATGGATGTAAAAGGAAGCAAAATTGACGAACCAAGACATTTTTAAATGTAAAATACCGTTTCCTAGCAACATCAACTGCATACAAACCTGTTTCAGCTTCTGATCGCCTGTGTTGTCAAGTCTGGCCGATCGGATTTTCTTATAAACGTGCTCGAAACCACGTAGATAGACGGAAAAACTTTTTTGTTCCAATATTTGGCCCACGTTAGAGATTAATAAATAATAGTTTAAAACAACTAAGAAAACACGCTTTGATCGCTAACCGAACCAAAAAGTAGAATATAATTTTGAATTACAAATAGTTTACATTACAGTATTAGATCGTCGAACACTCAATCATAACTAATGACCTCGAAATAAAATTATAATAAAGTTATTATCAACAGAATAATACAATCCAGAGTAAAAACATATATATACACATAGAGATGCCAGATGACAGATGACGTATGACGGATTACAGATGTTAAATGAAAGATGACATATGACAGATGAGAGATTACATATGACACATGGAAGATGGCAGATGACAGATGACAGATGACAGATAACAGATAATATATAAAAGATACAGGGTATAAGATGAAAAATAGATGTAAGATCAAAGATGATAAAGGATAAAACTTGATTAAAGATAGAGATGAAGTATATCGCTGGCATTGCATTAGCATACCAGCAACTGCGCTACTAGAGGTTTTAAATTTTGGTTAAAAGCAGACACAATAAATTAAATGAGTAAACTGAAAACGACCGCGACTATAGTCTACTCAGTGGCTCTATTACTATTTTTCCAGATGGAGGAAAGTGGAACAAAGAGAATAAGGTTGCCTATTCAAAGGCTCAAAACGGATTGGGGAACCTCGCAGCTGCCTCCCTTGCCTCCCTGGGTACACTCTTGTGCATATTCGTGGTTGGTTTGTCCTGGTTGTCCGTAGAATAAAGTAAATTGCATATTAATATTGCCACTTTTTCGCCTCTACAAGATGGCGTAGTCAAATTCGCAATAAGTTTCTGCTTTCACTCCCAATAATCAACTTTGTTTCTTCTTGTGGACTCCGTATTGAAATTTTCAACAATCGAACAAAATTTTGGATTCTGCAATTTAGTTATGAACAAAATGCATTTATTTATATGTTAAGATAAACTTCTCATATTTGATTAAGGCAATACATTATTAGTAACATTTGAACGTATACAATTCCAATTTAGCGTCCATATGAAGAAACAAAGTTGGTGATGAATTCGAAAGAAGAAACCTCGAATTGAAAATTTGACTAAGCCATCCTGAAGAGCATAAAAAGTGGAAATGAGAGCACGTAATTTATTTTATAATCCTATCTAAAATAAAGTTAGGAAAAATATGATTTGCATTTGATATACGAAACCAATGATTATATGATAACTTCAGGGCCGACCTATGAAATTATTAGAAATATCTAAGTTTTGGTAAACAATCACATGTTATAGTTTTTATAATCAGAATTAAAAACTCTATCTGTACAAAAGTCCAATAAGGGGTCCATAAGAAAAAATAAAGATGATGCTGGAGAATAGACGAAACGTCATATTAAAATTCGGATTACGCCATCTTGTAGAGGATAAATTAATGGCAATGTTCATGTGCAATTTATTTGTTTTTAATACCACTACAGATAAAGTCAGGAGAAAATTAAAACGACTTTGGGAAAACTCGTTTTTTCCATCTCTCTCCGGAACTTTATAGGCGGGACTTTGTTACCTAAATTTGTACACGATAAAGCTTGTTTTTTTATAAAAATGCCTCCGAGAGTCTTGAGACCTTCCACAGGGCATTTCTTTCAAAAATAATAGACGTTTATGCTTTTCTCAGTAGTTGAAGAACAGTTTCCGTATTTTGTGGGATAGGCAGAGACGGTGTAAGCTTATAAAGTATAAATAAATATATAATAATAATACTGATTATTGCAATAACATACACATCGTATCTTACAATAAACAAACAATACTCAAAGAGGTTTGAACTTGTGCTTGGGTTCACATGAGAATGAAAAAAAAACACAAATAGGTAAGTACACAAACATTAAATAATGCAGATGTTACAATGATGTATATAAATTTATATTTTTCTATGTGTAAGACTCGGCTAAATTATTCAGACAATTTTTGATAATAAACTGATTGTGCTTACAATATTTATTCTTGAAAGCAGTTCAAACGTAAATACACATATACATATACATTGCTTTGAGGTCAATAATGATTTTTAATGTTTATAAGTTTACGGATCGAGTTTCTGTGTTGTATAATCACTGACTTGATGCTTTTTTAAATCTTTTTTACGTTTCAATAACCTCTGTTGATGCCGGAATATGACTGAAACATTTCGGACCTGAAAAAAGAAGAGATCTTTGGCCGATGGTTTCTGTAGATTTTTACACAGATACTGAATTTTATTTAAATCTTGTTTGACAGTTGAGATTGATAGGACTTGGCCCGTATCGTCAGTCGTCCCTACAATTGTAGGGCGCGTTTATGGCCTTCTTGATTGTCGTAGTTTTCTACTTCTCCGTGTCAGCGCTCTATTTTGAGGATATGTCACAAACATATATTTGCATCAAATTGTGCTTGCTTTTGAGTTTTATCATGTTTTATCAGCCTGAAATTTCCTACAATTTAAAAGGAAAACATATCTTAACAATAGGAGAGCGCTGACGCTGACACGGGGCGAGTGAAATCTAGAAATTTTTGAAGGAGAGAAAAGAGTATGACAATCAAGGAGGCCATAAACGCGCCCTACAATTGTAGGGACGACTGACGATACGGGCCTTAGGACTCCTTGATTGTCATAGTTTTCTACTTCTCCCTGTCAGAACTCTATTTTGAGGTTATGTCACAAACATCTATTTGCATCAAATTGTGCTTGCTTTTGAGTTATATCATGTTTTATCAGCCTGAAATTTCCTACAATTTAAAAAGAAAACATATCTTCACAGTAGGAGAGCGCTGACGCTGACACGGGACAAGTGTAATCTAGAAATTGTTGAAGGAGAGAAAGGAGTATGACAATCAAGGAGGCCATAAACGCGCCCTACAATTTTAGGGACGACTGACGATACGGGCCTTAGATACAGACTTGGTGCATCAATCCATAGTAAAAGAAGATTTGTCTAACGTCTGGGAGTTGAGCTAAGTAAAGATTAACGGTTTCAGTCTTCTTATAGTAATTGTTTATGAGCCATCCTCTAATATACCGTGTGATAGGATATGAAAGATAAGAGCGTGGTAGATAATATATAGATAGTCTTTGTTCAAAAAGTCACGAAAATACACTTCCTATAATATTTAAGGGAGCAAGAAGAAAATTAAACATTTTCGGTGACTTTTGACAAGCTGAATTTCGGTAAAAAATGGTCGTATCTAGACTCTAAGAAAAGCATGTTCAGGCTTAAACTTTCTGGTTTTTAGATTTTTGGTCGAAACGTTTTAGCAGTAACATGCAATTCTTCCAACGAAAGAATTTTTTTTGCAAAATTTTTGAAGGAGGTCAGAGTAGCAAAAGTTGTTTATCAATACATTCTGTAATCTTGTTGAAAATGAAAAATCATTTTTCTTCTTTTTTTGTCACCATTGGATATATGCAACACCTTCAATTAAAAAAAACAATTGGAAAATGTTATTCTTTTATTCATGGAGTATTTCAAAAAACAAAAATACTGACCGGGGATGGATCTAAAAAATATAGAGTTCCGTACGACTGGAATGAGTAAGATTCTACAGTGAATTTTCAAACTTTGAACAATCGGTTCAGAGAAACCGTACAATGGTTCGATCTGTCGTCATGCCGGATTATTTGGGGTATAAAACACCTGAAAAGGTTAGTTTTCTCAGCAGTTAAAAAAATCCCGTCGATTCTCCAAAACTAGGCCAAAAATATCTTTTTTCACTTATTTATGCCAAGGTAAAAAATTCCAAAGGTTGCAATCAAATCTCACATGAAATTTATTCCAGTTTTCGGAAATAACCTCACGTTCTATGGTCTGTTACCGAAATATCAATGATCGATGACAAAACGATCCTTTTTCAGTCAAAGTCAGACATTTCTGCGCGTATCAATATTTTAAAAACAGAATATTGAAGCTGAATAAACGAACTATCCAATTCATATGATTTCCCAACAGAAAATAATTCTTTCAAGCCCGTGTACGAAAAAGAAAAAGGTAAACATTTTGCAAAAGGTTTTTCTTGCGCTATCAGCTGGAATTGTTCTTTGGCCGAGAAACCTGAATACTAGAATCTTAAAGCGTTAAAATGATTTTTTAAGGTCAAGAATCTACGATTTTTCATCGAAATACAGCCTGTCAAAAATCACTGAAAAATATTTCTCATGCACAGACACATAGCAGAAGTCCTAGCTGAGCCGAGCATCTGGCAACGCCGCGCCGTATTAAGCTCCTCCGCTGAAAATCACATGGCGGCTCGACAACTAACTACTTCGTCCGGCGTCGACGGACCAAACATACGGAAAAGCGTGAGTTGCGTGTGCGTTGTTGACGTCGATCGCAGCCGGTCCGCCACACATTCAACAGTTTTTTCGGCGGTTAGCAACGAGACCTTCTTCTCAAATTTTAATTTTGAGATAGAAAAACGCCGGCAAGATGGGCTGCTCCACCACTGTCGTCAAGTATCTGGTGTTTTTCTTCAATCTCATTTTTGCGGTAAGTCAGCGCAAGTTTTGAAGCCTGAATGGCCATTGAAGTTACTGATTTTTGAATGGAATATTCAACTGTTGGAGGATTTGTCGAGAAAGACGAACTTCGAACCACTATAAATCCATTTTCAAATTAAGCACAAATACAAACTTGAAGATATAGGTACCAGATAAATATACAGGGTGATTCACAACTCGTGATTAAAAATAATACATCATACACAGGACCGCATTTTCTTATAACATTTTTCCCTCGCGGGCTTCATTAAAAAGTTTAAAAACGAAAGGCAATTTTTTTTATATCGTCAAAACAGTCAACCGGGATGAACTAAAAATTGGTATGTGGTATTGTCCACATTCAAAAGTCTTTATTTACTTTACTTAGTGCACCAGCGGCGGAGATACAGGGGAGTGGTAGCACTATTTTTCCAAATAAAAATATTACGCCACTTTTTTTTTCGAATTTTGCCTTTAATTTGCTACAAATAATTACTCGTGTTTTTTCCTAGAGTGCATTGTGTTCGCAATAATAAAAAAAAAACAAATTAGATAATCAAAGCTTTATTTCAATAAATAGAAAGACCACTGGTTCCACTGCTCGTAAAAAGTGGTTTATTTGACCACAAAACGAAATCAACAAAATCTGCACTCTAGGAAAACACACAAGAGTAATTATTTGCAGCATTGAAAGTAAAATTCGAAAAATGGCGCGATTCGAAAAAAAAAACAGTGGCGTACTTTTTTTATTGGGAAAATCATGCCACTAATCCCCTGCATCTCCGTCACTGGAGCACGTTAGTTTTAAGTAAAAACTTTTGAATGTGGACAATACTGAGTGCAATACAAATGAAATAAACTGAAAAATGTGAGCCTTTGGAGAGCCGCGAAAATTGAGTATTACAAATTTAAAGGGCATTTAAAAAAAGCCGTACAACCTCCCCCAATAAAAAGTATTTTATGTATATTGATTTGGTATCTGCCACTCGTTTCAAGTATGTCATTCAAGGCTGCTAGTTGTGTCACCCTCTCTTATTCATGCAGGTATCTGCCCCGTCTAAGATTTTCTAAATGTTTCTTAAAATTTTCATAAAACGTCCAAGATCATCTTCTATGTGTGAAATGCGGTTTATATGAAAAAGAAAATTACTGAAAAATGAGAAACTTTAGGAAAACAAGAAAGAAGTTTGTGTAATTATGTGGGAATTTTTTACTCTTTCATATACAACACTCAACACAAGACAAGGTATTGCTGATGCATTCAATAATTACTTTATAGAAGTAGGCGAAAAATTAACAATGAAAATAAATAAACCTAAAACATGTATTCTACCCATAAAAATAAATTTTCTTACAACCTGTGTTTGAAAATGAAATAAAAAATGCCATACAAAGTTTGAGGAATAAGAAAGCCTAGGACTTGATGCGATCAGAAGATTTAATCCGAAATCAGTAAACCCTTGACATATATAGCGAAATTGATAATTGAATCGGGATAATTTCCAGATGATTATAGAGTAAGGGTAGTAAAATCCATCCACAAATCGGGTGAAAAAACAGATACATACAATTACAGGGCTATAACTAACATATCCAGCTTTGCAAAAATTATTAAGAAAATTATAAAAGCACGACTTCTAAATTTTTTTCATAATCATAATCTGATTAATAAAAAACAATTTGGATTCCAGAAAAACAAGTCTACAAAAGACACAATTTCCTTTTTGATATCCAAATTATACGAGGTTTGTTGTATCGCTACGTATGTTCGAATTTCGATCTTTTTGTGGAGTTATGTTGGTACTCATGACCCCTACTAATTTTCATAATATCGGCCATTTTGAATGTTCAGTCAGTTTTTGACAGCTAGCTGCCTATTCCAGAAAATGGATCAAAGAATTTGTATTAAATTTTGCGTAAAAAACAACTTGAAGTGCGCGGACATATTCCAAATGTTGACTGTTGCATACGGCAAAGCTACTTTGGACAAATGCAACGTTTATCGGTGGTAAAAAATGTTTTCAGAAGGCCGAGACGATGTGAGCGATGAAAAGCGTCGCCCAAGCACGTCAACAACAGACGAAAACATTGACGAGTTCTTGCCGCAGGGTAGAACGGTCAATAAGGAATATTGCCTTTAAGTAATGCGCAATTTGCGAGAAACGTACCTCCAGAAACGTCCGGATTTGTGGAAGAACAAATATTGGCTTTTGCACCATGATAACGCCCCTGCTCATGCATCGTTACTTGTGCGCAAATTTTTGGCCAAAAACAACACTCCAATAATGCATCACCTACTGTATTCTCCAGACCTGGCCCCCTTTGACATTTAATTGTTTCCGAAACTGAAGAGGCCGATGAAAGGACAACCCTACACCACGATTGATGCTTCTAGGACTAGAAAAAACATCACAAGTGTATAATGTCTGATAGGGATTACTTTGAAGGGGACAAAATGGATATTCACGAATAAATAAATAATTCTTGAAAAAACATAAAATTCTCGACACTTTGAACAAACCTCGTACAAGTTACTGGACCAAAGTGAATATACCCTGTGAGAGTTCTTAGACCTAGCAAAAGCATTCGACACAGTAGACCACTTGCATCTATCAGAAATCTTACAGGACCTAGGAATTATAATCACATTCAGGGTTACCTTTAAATAATTCCTTAAGCACAAAGGTCACTTATGGTATCCCACATGCCCCTTATTATTTACACTATACATAAATAGCCTGCTTAGCATAAAATATGAAGGCCAATCATATGTCTTGCAGATGATACTGCTTTCATTTATTCGGTTAACAATTCGTTTGATGATGTGAAAGAGACTTGAATGAATGAATGAAACACGAAATTAGAGGCATACCGGCCACCATAAGGAGGCTGCGCATTGGCCACTCAGACGTGCCCACTCTAGCGAAGTTGAGTATGGCCTTGAGTCCAAACTCCTTAACGTCCTGGGGATCCAACGTGATGGACCCCAGTATAGTCTACCAGAAGTAGCTAAGAGTCTCGCAGCAACACAGAACGTGCGCCGAGGTCTGAAAGAGACTTAATAATAATTGCAGACTAGACATAAACGCTTAACTATTAACTTCCAAAAGACTATGTACATGCCATTCACAAATCATAGAAACAAATTGCCGCCCTCTGTTTCTATACAGACTAACTATGATAATATAAATACTCGAATAAATTTAACAAACAAAATAAACTATATAGGTGTATGTCTAGACTCACATTGAAAGTGGAATATTCATATTGATCATGTAATAACCAATCTGAGACCATTATTGTTTGAACAAATCTGAACAAATAATTGTATAGAAAAAACAATAAAAATTTCCTACTATGCTATGATCGAAAGTCGTATGAGTTATGCAATATTATGTAGGGCTGGAGCAGTTAATAACTAAATGAATAAAATAAAAATTATTCAAAAACAATGTTTAACAGCAATCTTTGACATGCCACCCCTATACCCCACCTGATCTGTTGTATTGTGAAGCAAAACTGTTAGAGTCTAGGCAACAATTTTTTTTTAAAATTACAATTTATCAGTTTCAACATATAGATTATCTTATTCCGTTAGATCACTTATATCAAACGAAAAACAATAAAAAACATCTAGCACACACCTTTCACCTCTAAAAATATAGGTCAAAGATGTCATACTTACCTTTCCAGTGGGCTATATAACATATTAACGGAATTACATAAGGAATATTTGAAGTAAAACAAAATTCAAAACTGAATAAAAAAAAGGTATAATTGGGGAAAATCGACATCAAGCATTTAATGTAGTAGTACAAAACTCCAATGTTCATATACTCGTACATGTGCATGTATATGAGTCTTTCATTCCCACGCACAAAAATTCATCTTCTGTGGGTAACTGCAGTTTATTTATGTATACGTATTTTAGTTTTAGTTATGTGTGTACAATACGTGAATAAAATTATTATTATTATTACTATTATTATTATATAACCGAAAAATGTTAAAGCACTATAATATTTTTGAAAATTACTCAGTACTCCGTCATATTTCGATCTCTTCGTAACTGTTTTTACTCGTATTTATTATCGCTCTGCTATTTTCAGTCACGTCATAAAGATTTTTATTGTTCCTGTGAGCGACAACGCGCAGTCATCCGGAAAATAATTTCTGAACTGTAACTAATTGATACAAAATACTTTTTCGAAATACATGCAGAGAAACCACTACGAATGAATTGTTTTGAATGTCGTAAAGCTTCGTACGAACTGAAACGCGATTCACTTCATTTAAAGTCAACGTTATGGAGGATTTAAACGAGCGATAGTTATGGGCTGGCTTTACAGTGCTTATCAAAAAGGTCCCCCTTAGTTTTTGAATGGCTTAAATTTGAAAGACGAAATGTCTGAACTTGTTCTTAAATGCAGTGGGGATCGTGTGCTACCTCGTTTTGAAGCTAGTTATGAGTACTTTATAATCCTAGAATATAAAATAACTAGGTATACTCAAAAATACTGAACTGGCATGTTGTCAAGCTTGAATGTTTTTGTAAACTGAGTCGCATATAAATCAACAACTAATAATCAGAGGGATGTAGTATCTTATATCAGTCTTTTTAGTAGTGTATATTCAAAAATGTAATAAAATATGGAACAATATATTTAAAAAATGTCAAAATCTGTCAATCTCGTTAATCTGAACGTCCCTTATTTTATTGTACATCTAGACAGAAAAAATGAGAAAATTGATATGACATACAGGGTGTTCCTTAATGATATGCTATTATTTAAGGGTGTGAATCTACATAAAAAATTAATGTTAGTTTGCTTTATGAACTATGGTCCAAAAATGTTTCCTTATAAAAACTCGCAGTGTTGAAGTTTTAGCGAAAAAATGAAAATTTTATATTTTAATGCTATGAAGGAGCTTCAAAACGAGGTATTACATGGCGCCGCATTCAGTTAAAACATGTTCCAAAATTGTGCTTAACTGCCATCTTGGAAATTTCGACAGCAACTTTGACACTAAAATATGGTATTATGCAAAAATGTCAACCAGCTTGCTTGACCTGTTCAAAAAATAAGTATGAGTCACCTTTTCGAAAAGCAAAGTCAACTATATTATCTGCAGTTTGTAGACACGTACACATATACTGTCAGAATTTCGAATCAGAAGGACTACAAAGTCAGGCAAGAATGACTGACGAAAATGCATGCGTCGCCGCATTACTTACATTACATTAAGTGAAAAAAGGTCAGAAATGTCAAGCATGTGACTTACTGTATTTCTATGCTCTTAAGATGCTGGGTACTTGATGGGTCCAAGCCCTTATTCCTTTGTCATCCTAATAATTCTGCCAGTAGCATTGAAATATCTTTCAAGAGAAGTACTATTTGAAAAGGACTAAACTATACCGATATCAGTACTGAATTTTACAAAATACAGATTCAGCTAGTATAACTTATAATCTGTGGATGAGGCTGAATATTTCTCTTGTTATATGTAATGATGAGGTTAACTTAAAACTTGAGGGTCATCTTATGAAATAAATACGTGACGACAGAATAAGAGCAACGACAGTGTATAGCATGCTTTTAGTAGGTTATATTATTTTGGTGAATTCAGTTTTGAAATAGGCGATTCTGACTTGACCTGTATGCCGTGATACATTATAAATTGTTATTGTTCTCAACTTCGTTTTTGTATAGTGTGTAATCAAAATTATATTCTTATCAATTTTATCAACGTAGATATAAAGCATGTTTATTGCATGATTTATCGCCCAAGCTGAGTAAGATTGTATCTCTCGGAAGATGCTGTAGCTTTTAATATTATTCTAGTATTGAAGAAATACATTACTTAGATTGCTCTTCCCTTTCTTTACAATTTTTGGACTAGACTTTCTGGTTTGCGCTATTTGGACTCTACTTCTGTAGCTCAGAGCCAGAATAGGTTAAGTAGTTTTTGCATTTGAAAATTTTTTCTTGTGATATATTGCAACGTGACTTATGAAGTCATAACTTCCTTATCATTACGGTGAGTAGCAAATTAAAATTTAGAGTATTATCATGAGCTTAACATATCAAAGTGACTTTAGGCAAAATTGAACTTAGTCTAGTTTGGCATTGGGGTACCCACAAACTTGCATATAACAAGGATCTTGATATCCCGTCAATTGATTTGCTGTCTGCGGAGAGATGTGCATTCTATATAAACAAGGCGTCGAAGCTGCAAGCGACGAAAGAGAACCGCCTTTTGTCGGATGCCAGGAGAGATGGGTTGCAACCGGGTATATTTGCAATGAAGAGGGATATAGGCGATTACCTGCTCCAATGTGATAGGAGGGTTGACTACCAGACATATCTCGAACTGACGCTCGGCGAAAGGCTCACTGCTGACAATTTTGACATGCATATACGCGAGGGAAAATAGGTATATATTCAGCCAATGGTGGGACGAATGATGCGGAGTAAGGTACGGGAGAACAAAAATAGATCAAGGAACCAATAGCAGGTTTCTATTTTGGTTGGCTATATATATATATACAATGTGTTTGGTCACGACATACCGATATTTACGGGCGGTATTTTTCAGGTATTTTTATCGACAGATCCACCCCCCTACAATGTCCTACCTCACCACCCTTGAAATGGCATCCACTTTTATTTTTACGTTACAATTACGGTAGTGCATGTAAAAAAATTGTATTAACTGAGTACATAAGTGTCACAGAATGATAAATTTAGTGTAATTTGAACTATAACGTGTTGTTCTAGCGATAATTGAAAAACTTGTATTGACACTAACCGTCAAACATACTTAAAAACAGACAAAAACAGAAAAAACATGCAAGAAAATTGATTATTTTGTGCATTTCCGCACACCATTCAAAAACTAGTTGGTAAAGTTGTACTTTTTTGTGCTAATTCTACAGCTAACTATGTTATCTACAAAATGACATCGAATCTGTTACCCTATGTTAGTTATTTTAAGTACAAATATTGCATAAACATGGCCCTTGGCAAGCCTCCGATTTAATAATTATAATTTAATAATAATAATTAACGTCTTTTATTTGTAATATTCTTACAGGAGGCGAGATTTAGATTATATATCTATTCTACCATCTAACCCCCTTAACAATACGAGATGTAAAAAAAAAAGAATTTATTGAAAATTAATAGTCACCTGTATACAATAACGAATAATCCAAGTAAATACATAAGGAAAATATGAGGACACTTATGGGTTACAACCGATTTCGCTGCTGATGAAGAAGAACTTCTTTCACTTTTTTCTTGAATTTGGATAATGGATTGGTTTCTTTTAAACTGCGGTCTAAAGAATTATATGATTTGATCGCATTGTAAATGTATGAATTCTGAAATAGAGACGTGCTGTGGCGTGGAATTGAAAAAGTCTCTCTATATCTAATA